CGCTACGGATATTGACATACCATTGTACTGTATAAACTTGTAGTCGATAGTGCTGTACGTGCTATAAAGTAGCTACGCGTGTATCCGAACCTATTTATCTATGGTTATTTGTTCATTGTTTGACGTCGTCGTTTTGTTACTTAATTTATGTGAATAGGATTAATTGGAATAGAATAGAATAGAATATCGTTTACTGCAGCCAAAGTATAAATACACTTGTTACAAGGTAGTAAAAAAACCGACCTCAGCCGTTTGTGGAACATCTTTTTGCCAAATTTTACTGGAATCGGTTAACCGATAGTGGGTGGAAACGTGAAAACCAATAAACCGGATTCATCCGCTATTATAATAGAATATTTTCGTTAAATTTGAATGGGACCACTACTGTATCAGGGGTACGAATAATACGCTTTTTTTATAAGAAGTGCCTTTTGGTAGTGAATGAATTTTTTTGTTGCATTTTCATATTATTAGGCATTTCGTTGTAAATTATATTGGTCTGTGACATGGACCTTGTTTAAAGATTAATTTAGGATAATATATGGGATTGTATCAGGTGGTGTATGTAGAGTAGGTAGGTAGGTAGAGGACCCAGTGTTCTGGAACAAAATTAACTATGAATATATATCTCGGTCGTAATTGTTGCTTAAAAGCCCTTTTAATCATTTAGGATCAATGGCCCACTGAAGCGTCGGGACCCTGAGACACAGAAGTTGGTGCCTTCATTCAAAGGAAAAGTTTACACTTTCTAAAACTGTATAAAGAGATGACGGTCGGAGGATACCAACTGTCATACAGGGGTGTCGTCCTTGAGGATTTGGAAATAGTCTAGGCGCCGGCATTTGGTCAGTAGATATATCAATTGCAGAAGTAATCTAAAGTCCGATGACTAGCAAAACACTAAAGCGAGTGGCCGTTATTGGACTATTAGGTATCATCATGTTATGGCGTTCTAAAGAAAAGGCATTTATTTCGGCTAAGATATATACCTACTTACGTAATCTTTGTGATACTTAACATCATAAAATATTTACCTGAGTACATATTACAGATGATAAATTGAATAAATTTATTTCCATACGTAAATGGGCTATTTCCATTTCTATCTGGTTGCTTTGATCTGAATCGATATTTACATGGTGACACCGTAGCGTGTTTTTATTCGATACCGATCGGATTAGGACCGATTTACTTTGCATTTCATTTCAAAAAATAAAAAAGAAGACCTTAAGTAAACTATTACAATTACTGTAACGTACTACCAATAAATATTTTTTTTTAGGAATACGAATTTTCAATAATAGACACGAAAACATCAATAATAGACATTAATATTATATGGTGATAAAAATTGCATCAATGCAATTAGATACATGCTGAACAACTCACGTAGTACATAATTTACCGAATTTAAAAACAAAAACACATCTCCACATTTATTTTACAGGTCTATCAAACTCTGTGGGATGTCTCGAGAATGCAGGTCGTCGCGCCACAACAGATGGCGAAGTTGTGCGACTTGTTCGAAAGTCTGGTGCCATACCTCTCCTGGTTTCCAACACTCCAGAACTTTGCTTAGGATGGGAAACTACAAACCTATTAAGAGGGACGACTAATAATCCTTATTGTCTGAGCAGGACACCTGGGGGATCTTCGGGAGGAGAGGTAATTTAAGTGTGTTGGAAATGTTCCGGTACCTTAAAGGTGCTTTTCCACCGACGATGCGAGACGAGGATTGAAATTTCTATGGCAACATTTCAATTCTCACCTAGCGCATCTTCGCAGAGAAAAATAAATAAAAAGAAAGGCGAAATTACTAACTTCCAAAAGGGCAAATTTTCAGGGTCTATATGAATCCATATCATTGTCATAAATATGTATACATTGCATTTTTTATTAAAGTGTATTCAATTAGGACTGAATTTATCACCATTTTATAATCACTTTTAAAACTACGGAATTTGTTACATTTTAGTCGTAATGGTATCGTTTTCAAAAATATGAATACACAATGTAGTTGCAATATAATGTAAATACACTAGCGCAACTGGTTGTAAACTTTTTTGTGTGTATTTTGGTAGTTCGGGCGGCAACTAGGTTAAACTACCCTCAAATTTGTTTTTCTTATATGAAAAATAATATGAAAAAAAATTTAATACGAGTGTTGCCTTTAAATTTCGGGATTTGGCAACCCTAATGCTGCGATCTGGCAATCCACGTCTCTATTGTATAGCTTGACATTTTTGGCGACAAACCTAATCAAAACATTTTGTCATTCGAGCATTATTTGTGTCGTTTAAAATAATTTGAAAAATACATCTCGGTCAAATGGAATTAAGTCGCGAACATTTTCGTACGATTATTTTTTATAACTTTCGACATGGATTAACTCAACAAGACTGCATTGATGAACTTAATTCGACTTTTGACGATGAAGCTTCATGAAGAGCTGTTGTATATCGATAGTTTTCACTCGAGGCCGTAGTTTCTCTCAAAGACGAATTTCATGAAAATTGCCCAAAATCGGTTGTTATTTCGGAAAACATTGATGTTGTGCGAGAACAGATGCTGCAACATCGTTGTTCATTCAATATTGCATGACCATTTGGTCATCAAAAAGATTTGTTTGCGTTAGATCCCACATAATTTGACAGTCGCTCAAAATAAGGGTCACGTCGATAGGTCGAAAGAAATGCTGAAAAAACACGATCGCGGCGTTTCAAAAGACGTTTCGATTGCGTGAATCTACGCAAATGAGCCCGAAAATAAACAACAGTCGACTGTAGGGGTTTTTTAAGATGAGCCCAATCCTACGAAAGCTGTTCACACACGAAGCACTTTCAAGCAAATAGTCGCCTGTTTTTTCGGAAAGACTGGACATATCGCAATCATACCATAGAACAACGTAGAACGGTCAATTCTGAATGGTACGCAATCATTTGTTTGCCAGTTTTCAGTGAAGAAATAAAAAAGACCAATCGCCGAAGACGAATCATTCTTCACCACGACAATGCGAGGTCTTACACATCGGATCAAACAAGTGAATTTTTGAGCACTTAAAAGTCGGTTTGATGGATCGCCTGCCAAATAATCATGATTAGGGACCCAATGACATCTTTTTATCCCAGCACATCAAGAAAACATTCGAGGTCTACGTTTTTTGACACCTGAGAAGCGTTTGATGCATTTAAAACGCATGTTTTGGAGGTACCTCAATTTGAGTGGAAAAAGTATTTAGAAAATTAGTTTAAATGCATACACAAGTATATAGATCTTCTTGGGAAATATTTTTTGAAGCAATAAAGTAATTTTCTGTGATAAATATTTCTTATTATTCACTAATCCCGAAATATAAAAGGCAGCCCTCGTAATAATTGTCTTTGTGGTGCAGCGCAAATAAGGAAGTCTACCTTTACAGTGTTCTCGTGATAAATTATAGTAATTGCGGACACAATTTATTTTTTAACTAGAAGGTTATAGTTGCAAACGAAGCTTGACTACTTGGTACTTAGTATCGATAATAGATTACGTAAAAATGAATATTTTTTCGACTTTACAACTACTACGTTTACATTTCATTGCACGCGAGTGTACGTACGATTTCAGATGAAAAAAAAGATGGCTTCATCTGATTCTTCTTTCGTTTACATATTTAATGATAATAATTTATGGGACATGTTACTTCAGCCACGTGTTTATCGCTAGACCAGCATTAAATCGTCACTATCCACACTCACAGCGCGAGCTCGCAATTTTTGGTGGAAATAGGCCGGCGAGATTTCTATTCGCGTCTCGCCTCTTCTCGTCTCGCGTTGCCGGTGGTAAACCATCTTAAGGCACCAATTTAATGAGATTGATCTTTGCACCAAATAATATATTTTCCTAAAACATCTAAAATGGAATCTGCGTTATGGTACAGTCAAGAGCACGTAATGCCTAACACTTTGGACCTTCTTATCACAAGCGGCTCAGAGTCAAACAAGAATTAAAAGTCAATTTTGATGTGCTCTTAAAATAACTCGTATTTTTTATCACCTCATATATTTTGTCCTCTAAGTTTTTAACTTTATTTAATTATCTGAATAAATTATAGTTTTTGTATTGTTTTATTGACACTTTTAAAGAGAAAACCATCGTGAGACTCAGACATATTAACTAAAAATAACGGATAACTCACGTATTTAAGTCGAATTTTTGCTCGACATATTTTCGCATTGTGGTTCGCACGCATTGGTTCGAAACATGTCGAGCAAAAATTCGACTTAAATACGTGACTTATCCGTTATTTTTAGTTAATATATTGACACTCCCAGAAAAACGCTTTTCAAAATCTGGATTGATTTAACGCCGATGTGTTCATTGTAAAATAAACATTAATTGGAGTGTAACATATTTGTTATAGGGAGCATTACTAGCATGTGGAGCGGCGGCGTTTAGTGTTGCTTCAGATGTGGCTGGCTCGATACGGATACCTGCTGCTTTTTGTGGACTCTTTGGTCATAAGCCTACACCTGGTGAGTTCGTATTTTACAGCGGCAGAATTCCTTGAAAAAAATCGGCCAGGGAAATACTGCTACCATACCTATTTCTGTCGCCAAGCAGTAATGTGCACTACATCCGCCCGCACTACTTTGCAATTTAAAGCTCTGAGTGGCACTTCGACTGTTATGGGTAGGCGTGTCGCTTACCCTATAAGTCGTCACAACGTAAGAGGCTCAATTTGACAGCTAAGGAAAAAGATAATATGTAACTTTGAACACAATCAACGAAACAAAACAAACAATTAATTAAATTTTTATTGAATTGATATTCAATTATTTTTTGTGAAATTACTCCACTAGTTTGTTATAATTATTAATACAAAGATTAGGAAAGGAATTTTTTCTGAGTGTTCTTTGTATTAATAATTAAAACAAACAATTATTAAGTAATTGTGTTTAAAAAAAATACTTTAATTTTATTGAAGCATTATATATATAATGTGATAGAACTTATTTCAAGAATTATTTTCGTACGAATTCCGAAATAAATTTTTATACAATTTTGAGTTAGGCGACGGGGATTTTGAGGTAATACACTGCGCCCCGCGACGGTGCGCGAGGCGCGGAATCACGCGCGCGGTGGCGTAGACGCAGATCTGTCAACGCACGGTTTAATCTGCGCGGAGGCAGCGGTCTAGCGGCCCCGCGCTACTTAAAGTACTCGCTTTGTACCTGATCGCCGTAGTGATTACATGTAGCTGAGAACCTTCTTTGACAAGAATGGTTAATAATACAGAACTTATTCAGGACGCTGCAGTTATACTGTCTATTTGGTTTTTGTTTACTCTAATAAAAAGACACCGAAGATAACATTCGACTTCATTACAAATATTTAAGAAAATATGAAGATAAATTTATCAACTACACACGTATGTCAACTGAATCCTTTGCTTATTTGTTAGGGAAAATGCGAACGACAATTACTGGAATAGACACAAATTGATAAGTGCCGTACTCTGCGCCGGTTCGCCGCGCCACTGGGCGCGGGGGCGCGGCATGGCCGCGTGCGCCACGCGTTGTCTGTGTTCGACGGCACGTGTTTTCCATACAAACTAAGGTACTTCAGTACAACCTTAAAAAACGCACTGTGTTAATCGCCTTACGGCCGCTTTCTATATTTGATCCTGAATCTAAGATTGTTTTCTATACAGATTTTATTTATTTATTAAAGCCAAATATTGCATGTAATTAGACATATTTAAGTATTGTAAAGGAGGGAGGTTCTTTCTTCCGTTGGATGAGGTTACCAAAACAAGCCATGTGAAACTCCAAATGGTTCAGAAGATTATTATTTTTACCTTGTATGTCGCCAATACAATTTCACCCTATATGCGGAAGGTCCGGGCAGTTGTTCCCAGAAGGGACGCGACTCCTGGAAACCGTTCCGCGAGATGAGGTTTTTCACCCTATGTAGGGCGTACGAAATGTCAGAAGTAGAGGTGGGTGATAAATAACGTCACGATGAAAAATCACGATGATCCGCCGTCAAATAGTATCGCCGTGACTCGTTCCGAAGGAACGACGTTCCAAAGTCACATAGGTGTTCCTCCGCTCCAATAGCTATCCCCGTCACTCACATCACGACATACGTATTTGATACAATGCGCGATCTCCGTTCCGTGGTGACTAAGCGCCACTCGTTGTAGTTTTCTTCAAATCGGGCCATTTCGGCGATGGGAGTGAGTGAGTTAGGATGACTTTCTTTGCTCTCTCACAAGGGTTGTAGGTGCTTATTACTACTAGAAAGGGCGGATGAAAAAAATCTGCAGCAGTTACTATAAACCTATTTATTAACAAAGTAAAATGTTTTTGTATATTTGTTTTATTATAGGAAGAGTTGGTAATTTCTATTTATGTATAATCTACTTTGTGTATTCTACTAGAAATATAATGACATTACACTTTATTGCAATTATTAACAATCCAGAGTCGCATTAAATAAGTAACAAACAAAATTACATTAAATACATAATCAAATTTTTGAATGGAATTGAAACTTATTACAAAGGGAGTAAAAACTTAAATCATTCTATAAAAAACGGCTATAAGTATTAGAAAGAAGCCGCTGGCTATAACCGTATATCGTGATGTAAGTTATAGGCGTGACAAGGTCACGGAAGTAACAGTCGTGACAAAATCACGTGATTTTTTTTGGAACCGGAACGACAGCCACGGCGATAGAAATGTAACGGTATTCCCTATGTCTAGTCAGAAGATCCGGGTTCCCAAGAAGGGAGTCAACTCCTGGTTGCCTTACTGAGCTGTCTATATTCTCAAATTTCTCTTCACATTAACAAAATTGTGTTCGAGTAGCACCATTCGAGCTAAAATCGTAACACCGCGATTCAGAAATAACGCCAAATGGGTCAACGCCATCTAGCGGGTTCTTAGAGAACTAAAAGTGAACAATCTGGCTTAAGGCCGTCTATTAGATAAAGTAGGTTTGTAACAGTATTATATTCTTAAATCTTGCCAAATCTTGCTCTGGTTTCTTCAGATTGCCTGTTTGTTTGTATATTTTGATGATTGTTGTTAACGGTTATTTTGACATAGTGTTCTTGGAAGCGTACATATTATCGATATTCTGTTATTAAAATAATTCATTACGAGGTTTTTTATTATTTTATTATTATTATTTTTACTATTTCAAGTTTACCTACAAATCAAAAAAGAAAAAAGAATGGTTGGAAATCATACCGCCGTACAATAGTCGAATAGCCAAATATAAACATTGAATCAAAGACCATCTTCATTTATTTTATTCGCTTCATTTTGAAGAGTCAAATTTTAATATAACTTTGAATGTAACTAGATTACATGATAATGCAATTCCATCATTAGGTTTATAGGTAAATGATTTTATATTTAATTTAGATTAAACAAGATTCATTTACTAGGCATTCTCAGTTCCTGAAAACAAAATTATCCACTCGTTTCCGATTTTTTCCCACTGACAACTCTAACAACTAAAAATTCTTATTCTAAGAAGCCATCAATACAAAGACTATGTTGGTCTAACGTTACACTGTACACTGCCTATTTGCCTTGCCTTGCCTTGTCATCGTTCGCTGTCACTCGCCTAGCTGACCGAGTGAAGGCGAGCGCTAACGTGTATAGAGCTCGTTTGACGTGTCTTGTCACAACTCGCAGTCGCTCGTGACTCCTTGTCTCACTTCGGAGAAGTGTCGATTTTTCTGCACAAATCAAAGGCGCTCGGCCAATAGTAGACAATTGACTATAATCATTCTCATCATATACAAATTGAGTATAATCAGACATTTGCATGCTATTTAATATATGCGAAACATGTTTATACTAACACTGTCCTTGTTACATCTCCTGTTATACCATGTTTTAAGCTAATAAACGTATGATAATAATATTATTATTGATAATATTACTACTTTCATTTATTTCCAAAATTAAATGGAAGTATTAAAGATTCACTTAAATCAGTCACTGATATTAATTCTATGCCAATGCATAAATACAAAAAACTTACACCATTTGGAATCTGTTTAAAAATTTCTCTATGAAAATATGAATCTTGCGGTTGGAAATGTATAGGATTTATATTTCAAAGTTTTCTCTTTTTTATATACTCTCAAATTACAAAATATTAATTTTTTCATACAACATAGCCCATAACTTTAAAAATATTTATATTTTGATTTTTATAGGGATGTTAACATTGATAATATGATTGAAAATCAAAATGCATACAGGTGATACAAGTTCAACTGATGATTTTGGTTCATCTTCCGATGAAAGTGAATAAAAATTTCGATCACACACAAAATTTCAAATCGATTTCTCATGAGAATCGTTTAATATGGTTACCGATATGCTTAGTTCACATCCCAATTTACGTTGCAATGACAGGTGTCAAAGTGCCTCTTATTTTGTCACGACTGTAGACTTGTTCATCCCGTCACACGATATCATAAAAAAAAATATTTATACGTCTCCTGTCATTTGTCAACCTATTCGGTTATCGCGAGATAACTCCAATCAAAAGGTACTACTCCTGTTGCTGTGCAGGAAGATGTTGCCACTTCGATGTAAAAGTAATCCAAGAGATACTGAATTTAGGTCGCACCCGCTTTCTACAACTCTGTAAAATACACTATTTGCTGAAGATTTATATGGTATTTCAAAGAAACGACACGAACATTGATATCAACTATCAGAAGTAACTCCACCATAGGTTAATAACATTAATATCTTTTTCCTTTTAGGTGTAATATCAATAGAAGGCCACATCCCAACGTTGAGCGATGAACTATTCCCCCGATTCCTGACTGTAGGTCCGATGGTACGGCGCGCGGAAGATCTCCCCCTTCTTATGAACATTATGGCCGGTCGTAACAAACATATGCTACGTCTTGATGAACCTGTTGATATGAGTAAATTAAAGGTAAATTATTAAAATCGAAATCTAATCTTTTTAATCAATCAAATAAAATCTTTTTAATCACAACAGCTGTTCAGGCTTTATTAAGAACAGGATTTTGTTGTTTGTTGAACAGGATAGTGGTCATTGAAAATTTTCCGAAAAGTTTCAGAATATTTCTTTACTTTATTTTTCTGAAATTTGCCACCTTTACAAAGTTTTCGGATAAACATCACCATTAAATGCAACGGCAACCTCATTTATCGGAACCAAGTTGGCGCCCTCTGAGGGGCGAAACGCGATCTGCCAAAATTTGCGACAAATTCCGCGATAAATCGCTTAAATGCTTTTATACATAGCTGTGTTTAAATTGCCTTCTTTGTTACACATCGCTGCAGGAAGATGCTGTAATCCGTTCCCTAGATTATCGTACCTTGCTTCCTGAAACCCTTGTACCTAAATCGTCCAATGTAATATCTGTCAATATACCTCTGTTGATTCAGTGACTAAGGTTTGGTTGCTATATAAAAATGATGAGAATATTAAACAACCACAGAAATGAAATTTCGCAACAATCCACATGATGTTATTGTTTTATATAAAAAAAATACTCGAGTTGCAACGAATATTCGGCTTTATTCGTATTCGGCCTGTATTTTGCTATTCTGCCGAAAACCTAAAAAGAATACTACAGTTGCAACGAATATTCTGTTACTTTTCCTGTATTTTACTATTCGGCCGTCTACCTAAAAATAGTCGGAGAGAAAGAAAGGACAAATAATGTCAGAATAGAGTACTAATAACCTCAAAAGTACGTGGAATTACGTCTATTTGCTAAGTTTTATTGAGATATCCCCTAGTTCGCCACTATACAGGACTCGACACTGGAGATAATAAAAATCGGTTCTCACTACTCAAAGCATATTGAGAGAAAAACGCCTTGAATTGGAGAAATAGCAAAATCTACCATTAAAATAATTGCTCCTTAAGTAAAATTTAGGCGCTATTTATAAAAATGAATCTTCATGCGTGAACACCCTTAGAGGTGGATGATTTTCTTCAAAATGAAATGGGACCACTATGGAAGTACCTCCTTTCCAACAAAAAAATAATCATGAAAATCGGTTCACAAATACCGGAGTTATCGCGTAACATACATACAAAAAAATAATGTCGAATTGAGAACTTCCTCCTTTTTTGAAGTCTGTTAAAAACGGTAAATTATCGTGTAATTTTTATTAATGCTGAAGATACATTGTAAGTTCGAGAAGAAAGCCTTATGTTTCGCTGTATCTAAAAGGTCAAAGGTAGTGTAACTTAACTAAATTATTTTTCGAATCAAAACTTCCTACTTGTTATGAAGATTAGTCAAGGTGAAAGAATTCCAATCAAGTACTTGTTATTTGCAAGCAATATTTTTTTTAAAGTTAATCAAACTGATGTGAAATAAAAAATTTCAAGTACAAACTTGAAAACTAATGTATCTTTTTTGTTTCATTAATCATTACACAATATGATTTATCATAACTGAAGTTAATTTTCCTAAGTGCAATTTTCCGCTGAATATTCGGCTATTCGGCCACGCTCCTGAATGAATATCGATGTTCGATCTGAGACCGAATATACTATTTGTTGCGACACTATAAATTACTTCTGCAAACATTTTTTTTTTGTAAATTTATGAGTAACAAATTTTATTATGAGCTACTAGGAGCTGCCAGACCTCTTACCATGTTACTTAACTCGGTAAAATACGATAAACAGTCAGACAAAAAAGTTACGTTTGCGTGTGATATTTGTTTTTTCTCATGGCTCCACAAAGGCCTCATTTGAATAATGCTTTGTTTTTCACAGATATACTACATGACAGAAGCAGGATCCTCGCTAGCTCTGATAAGAGTTCACCAGAGCATAAAGGATATGATCATCAACGCGGCTAACTATCTGGTAAAAGAGTGCTCCTCTCAATTGTGCCAGGTAGGTATGTTTTACAATTCTGTGTTGAGTTCAAAAATATATTTTTAACAAGTAAACATAAAAAATCAATATTTAAATGTTTTCTTACAGGAAAAATTCAGTGAATTAATAGACTCGGTGGAAATATCAATATCGGTGTTCTTCTCGATGAAAGATATTCCAAATATGCTACAAGACCCTGCTAATCCTAAGGTGAGACGAAATGATTATCACTAGTTAGATGTGTCTTACCACAGCATGATTTATTATTACTATCCCTATATTTCATTGACCATGGAACGTGTAACCGTTGCGATATAATTATATAGCATATCGTGATATGTAAATTGTAATTGGTCATAACCATTTAGTAAAAGGGCCCATTCATTTATCCTGTCCTGCAGTTCGCCCAAACGTCCGCCGGGTGAATGTAGTCGCAACGTGCAATTCATAATCTTGCATTACACCGGCTGACGGCAAGACGGACAGCAAGGCAGGATAATAAATAGGCCCTTTTGATAACTACGAAATTTTTTTAATCGTAAGGGGCAAAGTTTTGTTAGATGCATAGATTTATTATAACCATAGATTGGCCCTGAATATTGGAGACGAGACCAAAACAAAAATACATCTGAGTGCGTGTAATGTGCATGTGTGCCAGATAAATAGTGTTGCGCCATCCACTGATTTAACTTTAATATCGATTAACATATTACACCGGCATTTCACTTCGTCGCATTCACCAAAATGTCTTATCGCAAAACGCCGAGACGTTAATTAACTAATTAATAAATGATAAAAATGGAAGTAAATTAATTTGCTACTCCGCGAACCCAGTGAAGGTTAAATCGTGCAAAATAGCTGCGCTTGTGTTGAATATTTTTTCATGCAGTTAATTATCCCATTCGCATAAAATTAATAAAATAAATAACACAAGGGCAACTATAGTCACAAACCACCACCAAAAATATACCCGACACGTGTTTCGCCTCTCCACGAGGCATCCTCAGGGGCTGTTGACTTCTCGACGCTCGGCCGAAGACTATTTTGAATGAATAATGTGTAAAACAGAACCAGAACGTAGCTTTACTCTTTGCTTGCCTCTAAAGGAAAAGCATTTTTTCCTCAAAGTGTTTGCTGCATATTTTTGAAAACTTTTTGGGAACCCAGTCTTCTCTCTTTAGAATTATAAGCCATTTCTGTCGTACTTCAACGTTTTGAGGAAATCTGAATCAACAACAATAATTAACAAAAAAATGGGTGCCTCAACTACGCTATTAAAAGAAATTTTCTTTTTAATGTAGACAAAAAATAATACACTAATGCTTAATTAAATATAAAGCACTAAAACCAGAAATTTCTGATTCAATAATGTTAAGTATGAAGATGATTTCGGCTGTATGCAAGCCACGTCTTAGCCTTTCTTTTTTTCAGTTAATGACATCTCGATAACATATTATCGATTGCGTCAATCTCTATGAAAGTGGGGTTATGAATTTCAGAAATTCACGTTTTTGATATATTTTGTAATTGAATTCGTATACATACATTTGGGTTATAAATGTACTTGAATGGTATAATTTTACGGATATATTTATGTAAAAAACTTTTGTGGCAGTGCTTTTAGACAGCTAAAAATTTAAATAGTACTTACATGTGAAATGTACAATTCTGCGAGTTTTCCTTTTTAGATTAGTTACATCCGGACACTGTACACGTTACCATGATTAATAAACGTCCGTTTAACACTATTTTAAAACCAATTATTTTTCAAAAATAAACGAAAGTTGTTTCGTTGTCAGCCATTGACTTACAAATAAATGGACGTCGGGTCCGCACTAAAAAGTGTCCGAACTTACAGGGCGTTAAAATCGTATACAGAGCGTCAATCACGCTTTAGTCTTCGTTTGTTCGACTGACAGCGCGCTTGTCAATGATGCCGTATTGTATTGTATAAAACCTTGTAAAAATTACTCAACTAAAGTGAAAAAACAGGATGGTATATCATGTTTTCAGTAAGTACTACATTGTGTAATCATAATTATCATTTAAAAGTGTTATTTTAGGCACTAGTATAAATAGTATTTAATTTATATTTAAACTAATCGTAAATATAATTTACAAAAGCAATCAAAATAATCAAATAGCTAACTGTCTCTTTCCGACTCATTGCTTGCGTAAAAGACTGAACGAGACCTCTCTCTCTCTCTCATCTTAGCGTTGTCCCGGTTGCGTCCTCAGCAGGGTTGCTGCGGAGCCCGGGGTCCGCTTTCCTACTTTTTCTCCTACACTTTGCACGGTCTTCGGCATCCTTAGTGGTGAGACCATTGGCACGCATATCACCCTTGGCGACGTCAAGCCAGCACTTCTTGGGTCTGCCCCTTCTACCGGGGCCCGGCAGAGGTGGCATAGCCAGACATTTGTTTCCCACGTAGCATGCCGGTTTCCGTAAGATGTGGCCGTACCAACGTAGGCGGCTTTCTTGCAGTTTATCTGCAATGTCACGGACATGAAGGCTGCCGCGGATGCGGGAGTTTCTGACACGGTCTTTCCGTGAAACTCCACACATCCAGCGCAGCATCTTCATTTCCGTGACACGCAGCTCCTGCTTATGACGCTCAAGTACGGGCCACGTTTCACTGCCATATAAAAGGACAGGCCTAATGATGGATTTATAGACCTGTCCTTTCAGCTTAACCGGCATCTTGGGGTCACAAATTACACCAGTCACCTCACGCCACTTTGCCCAAGCGGCTGCGATTCGGGCTCTGACGTCGCAGTCGATGTCTCCGGACGCGCTAAGTACAGATCCCAAGTATTTAAACTGGCCCGTAGGCTCGACCGCGTCTTCGCCTATGCGTACGGGTAGGGGATCTGTAGCGTTGCAGACCATGTACTCAGTCTTCGCCACATTTAGTCTCAGACCGCCGTTCTCAAGCGACTCCTTCCACACATTCACTCGTCGTACCAGTCTCCCTCTATCCGCATCCGCCAGCGCGATATCGTCAGCGTACATAAGCATCCACGGGGGTTGCTCATGCGTGTCTCGGATGGAGCTTGAGACCTCGTCTAATATCACGCTGAACAGATAGGGACTGAGAACTGAGCCCTGGTGAACTCCGACTGTGACAGGGAAGGGTTTAGTGTCACCAACAGCAGTCCTAACCATGGATTCGGAATCGCGGTACATGTCTCGGATGATGTCAATATAAGCTTCTGGTACCCCTTTGGATCTCAGTGCCCACCAGATCATTACACGGGGGATACAGTCGAAGGCCTTCTGCATGTCAAGAAACATGAAATGCAGAGGCGTATTCTTCAATCTGTATTTCTCCATGATGACCCTTAGGGCAAAAACAGGATCCATGGTCCCAAGACCAGGCCGAAACCCATATTGACCCTCCGAGACAGCACTCTCCTGTCGGATCCGAGAGTCTATTATACGCTCGAAGAGCTTCATGGTGTGGGACATGACCTTTATGCCCCGATAATCGCCACACTCCTGCACCGATCCCTTCCCTTTGAAGACTGGAGTGATAATACTCAGTCTCCATTGGTTAGGGATTTTACCGGTGAGGAGCACGCGATTAAAGAGGCCGGTAAGGATGCCCACACCACGGGGACCCATTGCCTTCCAGGCCTCGATGGGAACCCCATCGGCTCCGACAGCTTTCCGATTCTTCATGCGACGAAGAGCTAAGTGGACTTCCTCAGGCGTTACCGGTCGCACTAGTCCCTGATTCGGAGGGAGGACCGGTGGCTGCACCTCTCTGTGCTGCTGATTCAGCAGCTCGTGGAAATATGAGCGCCATCTCTCCTTCACCGCGTCGACCTCGCATATAAGGTTGCCATGAGGGTCTTTAATGCAGCGACACTTGGAAATATCTTGTGCCGCTAAGACCCTCGAACGTGCCAGCTTAAAGATAAGCTTCTGCCCCTCAGACGATTCCAACTTGTCATACAACGGCTGCAAGTGGTCCCGTCTGGCTCTGGCTACAGCTTTCTTAGCGGCACGTTTGGCATCCCTATATGCGTCGCGGTCTTCAGAAGATTCGGACGCTTACCACGTTTTGAAGAGGGCTTTCTTCACCCTCACCTCCCTCTGGACTGTGTCGTTCCACCACCAAGTTTCTTTGTCACATTTGCGACCACCCTTGGACAAGCCCAGCACCGCTTTCGCCGCCTCAGATATGGCAGCCTGAATGTTGTCCCAGTGGTTCTGGACTAGATCACCTTCAGATGATCCATGACAAGAAGACGGTGTTGCGCAGTGAGACTCTCACCTGGTATGACCTTGCAGTTGGCCACTTTGCTGATATGGTGTCTCCTGGTGAGTACGAAATCGATTTGGGTGGCGTGTCCGCCGCTCTTATAGGTGATTAAATGCTCGGGGTTCTTTTTAAAGAACGTGTTCACGATGGCGAGATCGGCCGCCGCACACGTTGTGAGGATGTCTCCTCCCTCCGCGTTGCGACTGCCGTACCCGTAGCCACCGTGGACCCGCTCGAACCATTCACACGCCTCACATGACCGTTCAGGTCGCCACCCAAGACGACTGCCTGAGACAAAGGAATGGCACTCAGCACTTCCCCGAGTTGATCCCAGAACCTCGCCCTGTCCGTGTCGCTGCAACCGGCCTGAGGTGCGTAGGCGCCTATCAAGTGGGTCACGACCCCTTCGATAAGCACCCTCACTACCATAAGCCGGTCGCTAAAGCGTTTCACTTCCAGGACGTGATCGTGAAACTCCTCGGAGAGCACCACGGCCACCCCGTTCACGCCCCCAGGAGCACCGGTGTAGATCAGCTTGTAGCCATTCCCAATGAGCCGGGATCTGCTGCCTTTCCACCGAGTCTCCTGCAGGAACGCCACGGCGACCCTCCGCCTGGAAAGCACGTCTGCTAGCTCCCTCGCGCGTCCAGTCAGCGTGCCAATGTTCCACGTGGCAAAGCGGAGCTTCCTGTGATGGGTAGGGGCTCGCCTCTTTAACCGTGCCCACCCTTGACACGGTAGCCCTAGTCCACTTGCCACAGAAGTCGGGCGAGGCTCCTGCGCGCCGTTTTGCGGCGGCGCCCTATCCCTATGCCATATCCTTCTGTTGACTTCCATAAGTTGATGTGGCGGTGTTGGTTTTTACGGGAGCGACTGCCGTCTGACCTCCCAACCCCCGAAAGGGAAAACCCCTCGCTAGAGCCTCGTCCGTCTATCAGCAGGCGCACCACTTGCAGGTGAGGTTAGCTTGGGCTCCAAGATGTAGGTGGAGCCCCCAAAACGCCCAAAAAAAGACTGAACGAGACCAATCACGTCAATTTCAATTGTTTGAAACACAAGCGTTTCAAATATTTAGAACAAAAATTTCATAAAGTCGCTTTGATGCTAATGTTATTATTAAAATATTTTTGAATGTTAGTAATACTTTCAAATATTGTTGTTCTCTTTCTACGGCTCGGGGTTACGAGTCAAAAGACCGAAAATACATTTGCCCGAAATAACGTTTGCATGAATTTCCATAATCCCGAAAGTATTTTTTTAGGTTTTTCGGGAGAAATATGTGTATGGCCTACATTTATTTCTCCCGTGAGTTTTGGTGTAATTTGTGGTGGTCTATTATGTGTGTCCATGGCACCCGCGACACAGGGTGTTCCTAATGCGGGGCAATGTTGAGTGTGTGCGTTATTATAATAATTATTATTAATTAGTACCTAAGTGTTTATTTTGGAAAGCGTTTCTCTTGCGCAACCAATATCGCGCATTTTAATTTTGTAATTATCTCACAACGGCAAATACCCTACTACCGTCATAGCCGTACTTTTTCATGCACAAGAAACATTTGCAAGAACTATGAGCTGTACGACTATGCCTGTTGCCGGAATCAACCGTCGTCAGTGATAAACCGTAATAATTATATTGAATCAATGTAAGCACTACGGCATATAGAAAAGTGATGACGTTTTTGAGCGCTGTATAATTTCAGTACTATGCACGAACGGGTTAAGAAAAGAAAGGAAACCAGAGCTGATGCAAGCTTGATAAAAGACCATAATATTAAAGCTTTGGTATGTGATTACATCAATGAGTGAAAAAAAAACACTGCATAATAATACAAATAGCAACAACCTTGATAGCCTAACGGTTTTCAATGTGGGCACTGGATGAGAAGTTCCCGGGTTTGATACCGGTAGGATCAATTTAACAAATTAACCAATTTGGGAAATGAACTTTTCTAAATGGTTCTGGTCTTGGTATTCTATTGTAAAACAATCATCTGGTTTGAAACTAGGGAACTCTCCGTACATACTCCCCATGAGTATCAGAGCAACAGAATCCCAGAGCAGAACCAATTTACAAAAGTTCATTTCCCAAATTGGTTCTACTGGGAATCGAACCTGGGACCAAGAACGATGGAATTTATTCCGGGGCCATAACTCAGAACACCCAAGCCAAAACAACATTCGAAAAGTTCACATTTAGTTTTGTAGTTGATTGAGCTGATTTTTTACGGTTTTTAAAAAAATTCTCGAAAAACTCGAGAAATCGGGTACGAGAATTCTCGGAACTCAAGAAAAAAAAGTCAGACACCCTAGCTCGTAATAAATGGCATAGTATAAAATTCAACATTTACGAACAAAATATATTTATAAATAATAAAGGCTACTCCATTATACCTGTGTTCAAGTAGTTTTGACTAGAAACTACATATGGTGCATTTTGGTAAGTTTCCAGTAGAAGCTGAATATGGTGTTTTTTTGCGCCTTTCAATTGTTGCAAGCAAAATTAGGCAGTACTGTAATGACATTACAATTTAAATTCAACGTTTTAGCTTTTTCATATTCCTTTACATGTCACTACGTTTCAATAGGTTGACTTGGGACATTTTTTTCGTGGTTTTTGTATTAGACCCGTCGTCCTTTTATTTGTAAGTCAATGTATGTGATAATGTATAATCACTCACCTATAATAACTTACATAATCGATGCTATATACCTAAAGTGTGTATTGTACATAAGTCAATTACGGGAACAAATAAATTAAATCTAAATTCATGAACAAACATCGTACTTAAATATATACGAAACATTTTCACTTCCCAGTCATTACATAACTTGCCTAGTTACTTACAAGTAAATAACCGCGTAATAACTTATATCGGGTGTATAGGAACAATTATTTTGGTATAGCTGTAACGTTTTTCTTCTAATACAACTTGAAAGCAAGGTTTTATTACTTTGTACTAAAATTATTAAGAATTAATAATTTAATAACTTTTTGATACATGATTAATGAAGCATAAAAAAGTAGCTCTTAAAAATTAAGAAATCCCTTTTGGTAAATAGGTCAACTGCGCTGTTTTTACTTATACACAATGTTTTACTTTTGCTTCGTAAATATATATCTATCTTCATAGATGTTCAGATGTTCCTTCTGTTTCACTAAAGAAAAAACTCATCAGTGCTAAATTGTCTATCCAATTTCAAAGAGCTGCCGTCAAACTGTCTGGGTTGGTAAGGATGTCGACCTCGGCCAATCAATATGCTGCACCTTTGAACTATTCTTTTACTCTTTAGCTTATGAAGATTGGAACATTCGAGATTATTTATTATTACCGGCGACATTGGATACTGTGTGTTTGCCTTGTGTGAACTTTGTGGATTCGTTAGTGTTGCTACATTTTTCTCCTGAGTTTTCAGTAGTTTTGAAAATAATTATTTTTGTTTAAAAATCAGGTTCCTGGCATTGTTTGTGATGACCTGTCGTTGTACAATGAAAATGACGATGAAATTAAATATGTACGTACTCATAAGCCGCGTATGCTACAAGTAAACTCATTTTGATACTTCCTTTTGTAGTAGTTACTATTATGGTTGTATGTACTGATTAGCCAAATTGAAGTATTTATTTACATCGTGGAATTTATATCACAGTACCTTAATATTGTGTGATAACGTAAGAAAATATCCCTCTTTTTCAATTTTACAGTGTGAAAGGAGCTTATTTATGGAACTTTTAAAAAGTATCTTCGGCGGTGGAACTCGGTCATTGCAGGCATTGGGTTTTACAGTAATAAACAAAACTCGTTTATTCATACCACAATCACGACGTCCTGCTTATAACGGAATGGCCAAATATCTACGGGAGTTGATGACGGTATTTGATTTTTACAGTTTAAGTAACTAAAAATTTTAATATGAAGCTAGAAATTAAGGTGTGAAATGTACGTATACCGGGTGGAAATTTGTAATTCCACCTGGAGGGAAAGTACTCTAAATACTGGAGATAGACATTTTTACTTAAAGGAAACATTCCTTTATTTTTTAAGAAGTAAAACTGCATTCATAGATTTTCGGAAATTTCTAGCAACACGCGGGAATCGAACCCGCTTTAATGTGAAAAAAATGCAGCTGCACTTTTATTGCATCGATCGATAGGGTTAATTATAAGAATAAAACCTCTCACAAAATTGGTTAAGTAAATGAAAAAAAAAACATGAAATCTTAACGTATTTTAATAAAATGAAAAAAATGGTAATCTAACTAATTAGTTGCTCGAATTTTCTTGGATACACAAATCTAATCTTTTAACGAATTCATTTTGAGTAACTTTTAATAACGTGTTGTGATGAATTGTATTACAAATCGTATTCTGAACCTCAGCCTTCAACTCGTTTACACTCGCATAGGATTTAAGGTAAATTTGATTTTTAACATATCCCCACAAAAAAAATCTAAAGAGGAGAGGTCTGGTGATCTCGCAGGCCATCTGATTGTGCCGTTTGTACCAATCCAGGTATTAAAATGGTTACTAATGTAGGCAGTAGTGACTCTGCTGTTATGGGCTGGAGCGCCATCTTGCTGCAGAATTATTCGATTTCGCTCTTCTTCGGATAAAACATTTAAATCATTTCTTAAGAGATCCAGTATTTCAAGATACTTGACATTGTAAAAGTGCTTTAACTTGACCCATTGAATTTATAACTCCAGATTTCATGGTTTGTAAGAGAGATTTCACCCTCATAATTAACCTTATCGATTGATTTAATAAAAGTACAGGATGCATTTCTTTAAAGATTTTAGCGGGTTCGATTCCCGCGTGTGGCGAGCAATTTTCGAAAATCTTTGAATGCAGTATTATTTCTTTTTAAAAATAAAGGAAAGTTTCCTTTAAATAAAAATTTCCATCTCCAGTATTTAACGTACTTTCCTTTCAAGTGGCATTACAATTTGCCACCCTGTATAATTGTTTTTTTATTTCCAGAAAACACTTGGCGATAACGGTGTTCTTCTTTACCCTGTATGTAACGGACTGGCTCATTACCACCATCAGGTGTTCTTGCGGGCTTCTGGCGTCATGTATACGATGATTTTCAATATTTTGGGAATGCCTGCCACCACTGTGCCCATGGGCTTGTACAAAGGCCTCCCTGTTGGAATTCAAGTAATTGTCACATATTTTTATGACTTTCACGAAAATAACCGCGCACTATTTAAGATAAACCATATTGAGGATATGAGTAATTTAGTCCTTAACGTATCTCTCTATTTTTGTTACAGGTAGTCGCAGCTCCAAATCAAGATAGGTTATGTTTGGCAGTCGCTAAAGAACTTGAAAAAGGCTTTGGGGGTTGGCGACCTCCTCAGTAAAAATGTGCAAAATGTAGGGTTAGTTGCCACAAAATTAACAAATCAAGTATCAAACCACAAGTATGGCGTGGTTGATTTTCTACTGGGAACTTATAGGGTTTAAGACTTAATGTTTTAATCGTTTCAGCTATTTTATACGTCTATATTAAATGTTAGACCAATTAAATTGGTAATTATTATGTAATAGCGAATATTTAACAATATCATGTTTATATTTATTTACATATTATCTAATATGTCTTTCATGTAAACTTGATCGCATCTCCACTTATTACAGTTGTGTATATTTAAATTGGTGTAAAATTTTCATTACCTACTTCATATTATTTCGTTTTAATTTAAACATTATAGTTTTGTTTTTTTTTTCTAAAATTAAGATTAGTGTTGCACACAAACGGCAACAGGGAGAAACCTTAACTAAAAATTAATTTAATTCAAATATTAATCTCCCTCTCGCATGTGTCCGAATGCCAACATACCCATTGTTTATAGTAATATAAATATTAATTATAAAGTATGCGCACTGTTATTAAATCAGAGTATTTTCAATTAGAAGCGCTGTAACTTATAATATTGTGTACTTATAACTAACTGTGTACTGCATCTTACAGGCGTTTTGAAAACTGTATGTTTCTACACAATGACTTGTCTAACTTATTTGTGTAGAATAGAAATCTTATAGTTTGTATACATGCTCTTTAGACTGTAATTTTAAAAAATATAATAAACCAAGATTATTGTTTTTCGAGTCTTATTGCCGCCTTCGATGAAGACCTGATGACTTTTCGAATTTATTTATTCTTATATGAATGATCATTATGCCAGCCTGTGTAACGCATCCTGTAAGGTGTAACCTTACCGGATAGCCTTCCAGATTTTTTTACTTAACAATAATAAAATTAATAGTCAATAGAATTGACGTTAATTTATACCCGTATTCGCTCGTGACCGTCAGGATGGTTGGTCGCCTGTGGCGCCTGGCACTGAGTGTATATTCAAGAATTGCTACCTTTTGTAAATAATTGCTATCTACGATATATTCTGAGAATTAAAAAAAAAAATTGTCCAGCCATTCAGACGTCAGGATGGCTGGTCGCCTCTTTGTTCAGCATGAAGGGAGCAAATTTTTCCGAAGTATGTATTACCAATAATTGCTACCTATTTGCTACCTTCACGAATTAAAGGTATACGCTTCATATCTACATTAATTTAAAAAATATAACCGATTGAAAATTTTGCGAAAAAGTGCCTGACTAAACTAAAAAAGCAATTGTTAAACGCCTGCCCTTTATATTATGGCAATAAACAACTAAAAACTTTTGCTTTTTTAGATTAGTCAGGCACTTTTTCGTAAAATTTTTAATCGGTTATATTTTTTTAACTAATGTAGATATGAAGCGTATACCTTTAATTCATGAAGGTAGCAAATAGGTAGCAATTGTTGGTAATACATACTTCTGGAAAATCTGCTCCCTTCATGCTGAACAAAGAGGCGACCAGCCATTTACAACAGCCAAGTAAAAAAATTTGACCAGCCATCCTGACGTCAGAATGGCTGGTCAAATTTTTTTTAATTTCTCAGAATACATCATAGGTAGCAATCATTTTTTTTTTTTTGACGGTCACTATTCGCTCGCATGGAAATTATATCCGAATCTGTTGTATTTTGGAAGCATCCGCATAATTTGATATTTTTAATAATTTTTACCTGTACTTCGTAGAGCATGTGAAGGTTGATACTTAAGATTTACTTCCAAGTGTGCCTTGTGTGCCAGTGTGACCATGGTTAAGTTTTTGAAATTTGACTAGCCAGAAAAAAAGTCGCTATTTAGTCGGTTCTAGTCGCAAAGAACTCTATGCCGCTTGCGATAAGAACGGTCCAAAGTACACACAAAGTGTCAAGCTTGACGTGCTCTTGACTGTACATACAGAGACAGTTTCAACATTCAAGCCATACATTTGCATGTCGATATTGACTTATCGATGATTATGGTACAACACTAAAGTAATCCGCCATAGGGGGTATACAATTTTGGTCTGTAGGTACGTTTATTCCGTAGATAGTTCCTTTCCTTTATTTTTTTCCTTCCTCTTCAGATACAGAGTCAAGATCACGGGCAAGAAGCGAAGGCGAAGAATTTCAGTTATGTTACGTAGTTTTCTATGGCCCAGAACACGTTCGGTAACTTTGACACATTTGATATATTAGTCTAGGGAATAGGGAAATAAATTATTTTTTTTTTTGTATAAAATCAACTTTAAGCAACTTCAAAGTAATAATCGAGCAGATTTAGTTCACTCTGAAACAACCGGTCATAATCATTAAAATTGCTTGAATTTTAATCTTTTGAACAATAATTATTTCTTTTATATTGAGGGTCGTATTCCAGAACTCTACTCAATGCCCAAGTCAGGACTTCAGTATTGCAGTGAGCACTGAAAATCATACTCAAGTCCTTGCCATTAGGGCCGTATTTCCAGTGCTTGAAATCATACTCAAGTCTGCTCAAATCCTGACTTAAGTATTGCAGTAAGCACTGAAAATCATACTTAAGTCCTTGCCGTTAGGGTCGTATTTCCAGTGCTTGAAATCATACTCAAGTCTGCTCAAATCCTGACTTGAGCATTGAGTACAGTCCTGGAATACGACACTAAGTCTGCCTTCATAATTTTATTTGTAAATCTTAATTTATAAAAATTAATACCTATTATTTTAAAAAGATATAGGTAATTACTGTAATCTTACTGAGTGACTCAGTGTGTAGTGTGGCTTATTAGAAGGATATATTTTATGAATGTTGTAGGCAATAAACAGACATAACTGAAAATACGAAGTTTTATTTTAAACTTCAAAATATTTCGCTTTTAAATGAAAACGTAACCGATAAAACCGTTATTTTTATCGTAAAAGTGACAAAAGACATCACTAATAGTTATCGATCCGTACAGAGCGCCTAGCCAAGTGGCAATCGCTCCCAATCTATTCCATTTCTACAATCGTTAATGATTAAACGAAAACGATAGTAGATTGGTAGCCAAAGTTACAAGAGCCTGACGATTGCTCCTTCTATTCGATAATTCGTTAAAAATCTAAATATAGTCTACGGTTTCGACGGCAAACCTCACTTTGAATTTGACAAGTGGTCGATGTTCGTAGAGTTCTTGGGCACACCAAGTATAAAAAATTTAACAAAGTTATGTAATCAAAAATAATTGCACGGCTTACCCGAAAGCCTGCACAAGAAGTAAATGAAAAATGACAATATAGAAATTTAATTGGAGTGCTTTTGTATGTGGTAAATGGAACACGACCAGATGTAGCTTACTCAGTAAACTATCTAAGCAGATTTCAAAACAGTTATGACAAAACACCTTATAATTATGCTTTGCGAGTACTAATAAATAATAATAATAATAAATAAATAACGCACACACTCAACATAGCCCCGCACTAGGGAAACCCTGTGTCGCGGGTGCCATGGACACACACATAGACAACCACAAATTACACCCAAACTCACGAGAGAAATAAATGTAGGCCATACAAATATTTCTCCCGGCCCGGGAATCGAACCCGGGGACCTCTGCGTGGCAGTCCGGTATGGTAACCGTTCGGCCACGGAGGCAGTTACTGAAATACTTATATCACACAAGAAACCTAAAATTAGTTTATGGAACAACTTTTGATGAAGTAATGAATGCATATGTATATGCTGATATGGGCAGCTGATATACAGGATAGAAAATCCACGAACAGAATAGGTATTGAAGAGTTTGGTAATGTTGTGATGCGGAGGTCACAAAAACAGAAGATAGTTTCTAGAGCTTCTACGCATGCTGAGTATTATGCCCTTGCCAATTGTGTTGAAGAGGTGCTACCTATAAAAGGAGTTTTAAGCGATTTAGATGTGAAAATAGAGGATTGTGTGAAAATATACGAAGATAATATGGGTGCAATAGGCTTGGCTAAAAATGGTTAATTTTCCAAGAACTCTAAGCTCATTGACATAAGTTATCATTTTCTGTATGATGAGAAGAAAGGCCTCATTAGTGTACAAAAGATTCCTTCAGAAGATAGGTTGCTGATATACTGACTAAAGCTCTGTGTAAAGTAAAATTTTTGAAGTTTAGAGAATTGTTAGGTATTAATGTTCAATAGATTAACGTAAACGTAATATTAAGGTTTTTTATATTAATGAAGTGTGTTTTTCCAATTATGATACTATTATATATATATATATACTATTATATATACTATTATATAGATACTAAATCAAGAAGGCATGTTGGAAATATGATTTAGTTTCTCAAAAGGCTATGTTCCGAAGTTTTTAAGAAAGTGAGATTTACTTTATGTTCTAGTTTTTTGTTTTTTGTCTTTGGGGATTGTGTGTAAGATAAAAATTGGTGGTGGTTAATTTGAATTTGATTATTTAGAAGTGTAACCTATTATTTTAGCACTTCACATATTTTCTCATCTTTAATAAACCTCACGTAAGACAGCAACGATGCTTCATTAGTTGGTAAAGTGGACTTATCGAGCTGAATTGAGAATTGACTAGTCCTCAGATGATTGCACAATGATTCTTCAATGTTTTCGATTTCAAACCTGGGACCTTCAATCGAACCTGGGACCTCTGCGTGACAGTCCGGCATGGAGAGAGTGAAGAGAGTGAAAGGGGCGCGGGCGGGTGTGCGTAAGCGCTTATTGGCTCTCCTGTCATTCCTTGCCCCGCGCACCGATACGACGTTCCGCTCACTCCTGATGTACAATCGCGTTCTAAATAGTATTGTTAGTTGACTGTTTGTTTTTGTTAAGTTTTAATTTTATTAATGACTGTTATTATTTGTTATTGTTAAGTTTCGGTTTATTTGTGATTTTAAACAGTGAATATGCCTAGAAGAACTACTGTTTTGAGACGACAGGCACGTAAAATGGTGTATGGCGTGCATTGTTTTTTAAAGAAAGAAACGAATGGATTCCTTGATTCTTTAAAAAAAATTAAAAGTCGAATTGACGAAGCTACGAATATGATACTCAATGCTTCGGAAGGCACCACTGTGGATCTAAACCAGATAAAACAATCTGCACAATTTATCAAAACGGAAAATATGCAAATAAGCGTAATTAGTGATTTAGATAAAATCCAAAAAAGAACAGCAGAGGCTACAAAAACGTCAATCGCAACGGTGAGAAAAATTTCTACTCAAGCCAATAGTTCCGATTTAATTGCAGTGTTCCGAACTCCTGACAAAAAACGTTCTCGTACAAAACCGGTTACTGATATCGATAATTTCGACCAAGGTGTTATAAAGAGATGTATTCACAATTTTCACGTAACGAACGGCGAACTTCCCACCATTGCAAAGTTAAAAAGTAAACTAGAGCAAGACATTAATTTCCAAGGCTCAGAACAAAGTCTTCGACGAATTATCAAAGATTTGGGCTTCCGGTGGAAAACGACTGAAAACAACCGTAAGGTATTGATAGAGACTTCAAATATACGTTTGCTACGAATCGAATATGTACAAAAAATCAAACAATAACGTCAAGAAGGAAGACCGATTGTATATACAGATGAATCCTACGTAGATTCGTCGCACTCTACTCCAAAAGCTTGGACCGACACGGTACTAATAAGGGCATGAAAAACCGATTTCAAAACAATAACAACTCGTTGAGAGTTGTTTATTGTCCACGCAGGATCAGAAACTGGGTTTATACCGAACGCGCTGCTAACTTTTAAAGCCGGTACCCAAACAGGCGACTACCATAACAACATGAACTACGAAAACTACGAGAAATGGATTAGAACACAACTAATGCCTAACCTACCACCTAAATCCGTTGTGGTAGTCGACAACGCTTCGTACCTCGTACCATAATAAACAATGGGATCTCGCATCAACTTCAAACTCGAGAAAAGCGGTCATGCAAGCTTGGCTCACAGAAAAAGGAATTCAGTATGACCCAAAGTTACTAAATCCTCAATTGTATAATTTGATAAAAGCCAACAAGGAAAGATTCAAAACGTTCTGCATAGACCGAATCCTAGCTGAAGAAAATCACCAAGTGCTAAGACTACCGCCATACCACCCGGACCTGAATCCCATCGAAATGGCATGGGCCGCTATTAAACAATACGTAGCAAGCAAAAATGTCAAATGGAACATTAATAAGTGTCCAGAGCTTATTAAGGAAAAGATATCACTAATGAATTACCGGGATTGGGGTAAATTATGCAAAAAGGTGAAAGATATAGAAGAGCAATATGCTAACAGTGACCATGTTGTAGACATGCTTACAGAGGAATTTGTTATTCGCGACACTGAAGACGATTCCGAAGATGACATTGATTCCGATGATGACAATGAAGACAACGACGACCGAAGTAGCCCAGAGCCCGGGCCCTCAATGAGCAGAAGGCATTGTACGGGCCCCGCATACGATAATTTAATGGAAGGCGTGATGACGTTGTCAAACTCGGAATAATTTCTTTTTAAATAAAAATTACCAAGCATTTTTTTTTAATTTTCCCAATACTAATTGACCTTGTCATTGACAAAGATTCACTATCTACATTTTTCAATGCCGAAAAGTGCTTCCATAGATTTAATTGCCTCTGTAGTCGAGTGTTTCACGTGATTGCGAATAACAAACATTCATGCATACAAACATTCAAACTTTCGCATTAATTACTGAGATGACGATGTTTTTTAATACTAGTTCATACAAAACAAAGTTAGACACAAAAGGCAAAAAACACTTGCTTTTTTTATTTTATTTCTGATATGACTATTGCGTGCGTAGCAGTACACATGCGCAGTTATCCCCTCTATATTTCGGTCACCGCTAGACTTACGTGCCGCTACCTTGTACATTCTTGTCTTGAAGGCTTCATTGCTTCATTTGAAACTGTTTTTAGACATAGACGGCACAAAGGTGACGATGGGTTTGTGGGATTCAATGAATCCGAATTTAATATATTCCGCACAGTATTGCCGTCGCTTCTCTTTTTACTTACGACATTGTTTTGTTTTGAGAAATACGTAGGTGTAAGGTAAGTGTTGAGCTTAAGTACTGCTTATCTATTACACGCGAAACCGCAAATGAAAATAAAATAAATATGACGTTGTTTATATAGGATTGCATAAGCACACACGCACCGACAGGAATAAGACAAACATGCATAAACTCGTTTATATCATTCGACGCTCAATCGTACTCAAGTAAGAACAAGTATTCTATGAACCAGCCGATTGACACAGGAATGTACAAATCGGGTTATTTAACAAAAACTTTTTAAAACATGATTACCCGCGGTCTATTATCTACGAAAATTCTATTAAAATGCGAAACTGTGTCTGTTGCCTTTTTATTTGTTTGTTTGTGTCTACTTTCATTTCGAAACGGAGCGACCGATTGACATGACTTTTATTTTATTTATTCAATAAAACAAGACAGATATATGAACTAAACGGAGAGAAATATCGAACCGAGTTAGTTTGAGCAATCTCTTAATTATATTAGTTGATGTATGTGATCTGTGGTTGATGTTCACAAGTTGTAGTCGAGAGTCCAGAGCTTAGCGGTGTCTTGTGTCGTATTCCAGAACTCTACTCAATACTCAAGTCAGGACTTGAGTATTGCAGTGAGCACTAGAGATGGGCATTGAATGGACGAAGTAGTCGAATCAACCGTTCACGTCCAATCGACGTTTGTACGGGTCTACCGTTCTTCGGTTAACTAGTAGAATTCGTAGACGGCCAAACGGAGAGTCCACGCGTTAATCAACGCTCTGCGTCACGAGACGACGCGCGAACTCAGTCGAATTATACATAGACTTACATAGACAAATTATTTTGAACTTTAAATTCAGTACGTGTGAGTTGATATTTGAATATGTGCGACGAGGTAAGATAGGTCTGTTATGCTATTTATTATTGCAATAGTGTAGTTAATTCGCTAGAGCGAGAGAGAGGCGTTGCGCCCGTTGTGGCGCAATGCCCTTGAATCTATCGGAATTAAACTCTATTGCAGTATGTTAAAAGCGTCGATAGCCGCGCTCATGTTAAACATTGGAAATAAATTAATTTCTAAAACAATAGTTCATATTCTCAAAAGTTACTTTAGTTGATTCAGTTAAACATGTCTCACGAACGAAAACAAACTTAAGTTGAATGATCGACTAGTCGACGAATTTAACTAGTTGGCCGACTAGTTGATCGTCGACGATGGACGGTTGCGTTTCGTTAACGGAAAACGCGTCGACGACCCATCTCTAGTGAGCACTGAAAATCATACACAAGTCCTTGCCATTAGGGTCGTATGATTTTTTTTTAATTTATTGCTGGCCATGGAAACAAAGTCCTTCAGCCGAAAACATAAATGTTTAATTATATTTCTGTAAATATGGCCACCACAAAGAGGATAGGCAATTTGAGGCGGCGTGCTTGGATTGACTCGGAACTCTTTAGAACGGGCCGATACGGGTATTTTAGTTCGAGATTCGTATAATTTCGCGTTTTAATCTTCGATTAAGGCACAATAGCACTATCCTATTCCGCTTTAAACTAGATTTCACAAAATAATTGAAAGTCAAAATAAAAACGACACTTTTCCCTCCAAAAGGCCCAGAGCGAATCAAGGGTCGTATGATAACTGCTTGTGTTGCCAGTGCAATCCTGACTTGAGCATTGAGTAGAGTTCTGGAATACGACCCTTAATCTATTATTTTGTAACTTCACATTGGTAAAAGTCCTACTCTATTTTAGTTTCGAATTTTACTAATACTTGTATTATGCTACAAGTATAATATCACTGTATTATGCAATCATTTAAATGAATCATCTGCATTTCGTAATTTTTATTTTTTTTATTAATAGTTTGTTGGCTAGTTACTTAGCTTGGATACAAGTCCTTTGAGCCATGTCTTCGTTTAATTATCGGGATCCTCAGTAATATTGTACACTGTAGTTCTAATTCTACATTATGTTTTCACTTTCTCTTCAATAATTTAGTTCACTTATTTAGGTTTTTTTAAACAGTCTTTTAAGCGGTGGGAGTCAATATTTATGTTTTACTTTCTAAGTCATATTATCTTTTATCACTTTGAACAAAAACTTTGAATTCGTAATTTGTGGACTGTTCAGGATAAAGTCTTTTGTAATTTAGTTTAAAACAAGGAATATAGTTCTAACCATCGTCATGACTATTTCTTTCTTCGTTTATTCTTCATGATATACATAAAATAAATATAATCTTTGTAAAAACTGTACTCGTAACTTCAAAAACACGTCATTTTTTTTTCGAAATTCCTGCATTTCGTAATATAACGTAAACTTTTTTTTTATTATTTTTATTAATAATTTTGGCTTGGATACAAGTCCTTTGAGCCATATCTTCGTTTAATTATGTTTCTGTAAATATGGCCGCCACAAAGAGGATAGGCAATTTGATGCGGCGTGCTTGAGTTGACTCGGGATTCATTAGAACGGGGCGATACGGGTATTTTAGTTCGAGATTCGTATAATTTCGCGTTTTAATCTTCGATTAAGGCACACTAGCACTATCCTATTCCACTTTAAACTAGATTTCACAAAATGATTGAAAGTCAAAATAAAAACGACACTTTTCCCTCCAAAAGGCCCAGAGCGAATCCTTTATAACGTAAACACTGCTGTAGTGTTGACCTTGTAAAATAACCATCAACAAACAAATAAAAATATTTCTATTAACATTTTGCAAAAGGCATTCACAAAAAGTGATGTAAAGTTGACCCTAGCTTTAGGATCTCCAGTACTGCGCCTTGAGTTTATTTAAGATCATTATCATTAGTTGTGGATAGTTAAAATATGATGAAAAATATGGGGCAATTTGAAACATTACAATGGCAACATTTAAATTAACGAAGTTTTGTCAGGGAATGCGTGCGACATGACGCGCCGGTGAATTTTTATACGATTTTGACGTAATTTTTCAGTGTTAATAACGAATAAAAGGTGAAATATTCAATATTTATAAACAAACAGAACTTATTATTGTGCGAATTGGTAAATAACTTGTGTAATGTGCTTGCAGAATTCATAATGGCTGATCAAGTAGACTCAATGTCAGACGCCGAGCTGCGTACAAAACTGGCGGAGCATGGTTTCCCTGTGATGCCGATAACGGCTTCCACGAGGAAGCTATTAGTGAAAAAACTGAAAATGGTTTTGGATAACAAAACCAAACCGAAAAGTAGCACCGACAGTAAAGCGGAAAACAGGCGGTCGCTGGCTCGGTATTCGAGTGGCGAGGAATCTGATTTGGATTCTAGCAGTGTGAAAGAGAAGCGTGGACGACGCGCCACGACTGGAGGAGCAATGTTGCCGCCAGCGAGCAACAAAACAAGGCGTCTACCGCCTAAAAAGGATTCACCCGCCAAAATTGAGGCTGATAAAGGCTCTGAATCCGAAGAAGAGTCAAAATCGCCCGTACGCACCCATGAAGAAGTAGAAACAGTGACAACACGACGTGTAACACGCACATATGCTAATGATGATGACTATGAAACAGGTTCTGATAGTGATGTAGATTCTGATAAAAGGCCACCATTGAGAAGCAGTTCTAGGTCCAGTGACTACATTTCAAGTACTCTTCCCACTCACGATGTGTCCACTAGTCCTCCAAAATCTTCAATTTTCTCCCGGCCCTCACTTAGTACAACAAATTATTCATCAACCCTCTCATCTTCTGATCATTTGAATTCCATAAGGTCTCGGCTGGGCTTAACATCAACCATTGGTGACAGACCCCCCATAAGTAGTTATACATCAAGGTTTTCTTCCAGTACTTACCAGCCTTCAACTTCTACTACTGTTGATGAGGTTGAATCTCCATATTTAAGCAATTTTACTCGACGTTTGTCTGCACTAAAAACTGACCCTACTAAACCATCTTTCCTTGACCGTGGAGATTCTAACAATGGAGGAAATATCTTGCACCGCAGATCATACATATCTGGTGTATCCAGATCTGAAGCTATGGATTACAAAACAGCTACTGACAAAAAATTCCTCAAAAACAACCTGGTGTCCCTTACCTTGGTTGGCTTAGTTGCACTTTTTTTTCTTTGTTTATTTTTCATGTATATTGTTAAAAAGATTGATATAACATCTGTGGTGGATGACCAGAACAGTGTAATTCCAATTTGCCAATTAAATATACCTGGTAACAGACCAGGAATCAACTGTGTGCCTAAAGAACAAGTTAGTTATGCTAAAGATCTGCTGAAAGTCATACATCCAGAGTTGACATCTCGAGCTGCTGCTTACAAATGTGGTAAGCCTGGTGCTCTACCATACTTGACTGAAAGGGAAATTATAGACATTGCAAGTGCTAGGGCTGACATAGTAGACGTCAGTCAGTGTCGCACGGATCTTAATAATCTTGAAGTTCTGTTGGTAAATAATCCACGATGGGGCTTGAGTGTTGTACAGCTCAAGAGCCTTTATAGTAAGGATGCTGAATATTCCCCTCTATCTTCAACTGATGTAGTTGTTCAACAACGTAGCAAGGGTAGTGTTGCCATAGCCTTATCTGACCCGTCCACTCCATTTACTTGCTTCATTGTCAATACCCTATACTCAGCAGGGTCTACTGCTATTATCATTGGAGTGCTGGCTGTTCTAATTGTTACTGTGCAAAGAGCCTACGCATACTATGTGAGCTACAAGAAGAGAAAGAATGAAGAAATTTTTGTCATGGTGGAACAAATCATTGACACTATTTCACAAGAGACTGAAGACAGTGGGGAACCTTACATATCAGTAGATCATGTTAGAGACACTTTGATATCACCACAGAATAGAGAGAAGATGGCTTCAGTTTGGGATGCAGCAGTAAAATTTATACAAAGGAATGAGAGCAGAGTCCGTATGGAAGTACAGTCTGTTGATGGAGAAGATTGCAAGGTGTGGCGATGGATCTCGGCTCATAGCAGTCCAAAGCGCAGTGCTGCATGGCAAGGACAAGCTTTTGAAACCCAAGAAGGTTCGGTTAACAACTTAACTGTCTCACCAACTGAATGCTTGAAGATTCGTCATATGTTTGACAAAAATGATACAAATCCTAATTTGAGGCAAGTAATCACAGATGTGATTTTGGAAAAGTGTGGTGATCGTTGTAACATTCTCCATATTGATATCGAGCCCACATCCTATTGTGTTTATGTGAAATGTGCCAGTCCGACTGACGCCGGCGTAGTATACCGAAGCCTCCATGGGTGGTGGTATGAAGGACGCCTTATTACTGTGAAGTACCTGCGCTTGGAACGTTACATGCAAAGATTCCCCAACTCTCCTACTTTGGGACCTTACTTAAAACCTTCACTTCGACGATCTTGGGATGAATAAGTCAGGTGCAACTAGTACAACACTCACAAAGACAATTTTATGTCATTGTTAACACAAGTGGTCATATTGCTTACGAAATTTATTTATTGCAAAAATTAATTGACATGCATGTTACACACTAAATGGGACTTTTTGGTCAAATTATATTAATTATTGTTATGTTAGTCATTTGTGTTACTAAGAGTACTTTAAGTCAATAATTAATTTAAAATGTATGTAGTATTCTGGGAGTCAATGAAAACTAGATATGCATTTTCTATGTAATTTACAGTTTTAATTTTAACTCTCCCTTACATAATAACTTAAAAGCATAATAGGTGCAACTAAAAAAAAACAAATTTTGCAAACTTCAATTGTATTATTTTATAGTTTCATTGCATTTTGTGGCCTATTCATGGACAAAACTGTTAATATGGTTAACCTTCTAAAGGGTTAAAAATTATAGACATTTTAATCATACTTTTATGTTCATTATAAACATTTGTCAATTACAATTCACAATGTTTTGTATCCAATCTGATTTCTTTTATTTAGTAAATAGAATTGTGTTTTGTATCCAATCTGATTTCTTTTATTTAGTAAATAGAATTGCTTTTATGTTTTATAATTTTTGAGCTAAAACAATTGTAAATATTTTCTCATCACAAAGTCTTTTCCTAACTATAGCAAAATAATTGTTAGGTGGTGTTTAACACATTATATGTCTAATGTGCCACAGTTTTCGAATTTGTACTAAGGCAGATTTTCTCAGTGTATTAATTTATGTCAAATATAAGTGACTACAAACACAACAATTTACGGCACTGAAAGTAAATATGATATCAATATAAAAGCAAGATTATTTGAATATGTTTAGTAAAGAAGTGCTATTGCTGTAGACAATGGAAAGAAAAAAAATGTTAATGACCTTAAGTCATGCCCGCTTGCATTTGTTACTGAATTTATTGATGTTTTAGAACAACTTGTTTAAGTTTAGATATAACTATGTAGGATAAGTTTATGGCTATTTTTCATCTGCTTTGTCTGAATCTTGGCACATCATAATTTGATACATAAGTGTGTTTTATTTTATAAGGTGACATTAATTTTAGTTTAGTGGTATGTACTAACTGCCCTTAATATCTTAGCATTACACATTTTTATGGATTGATTTTCATTTTCTAATAAATTGATTTACGTAATATTTTCAGTTGTTTTATTGTTTTTTACTATAACATCGTAGGAGAAGGTATAAGGAGGCCCACATAACATCTTACGAACCTTAAGTCAACCACCTACCTGTGGCATACGCTGCTGAAAAACAAACGTGGTAAATTACTTTCCATCAATACGCACTTGATCAAAGAAGCCCTCGAGTTAGAGGTTGGAAGATTCCCCGAGCGGCTAGGTTATTTAACCACAAAATAACGAACACGCACAAAAAATGGATCACCGTTTCTTTATGCTGCCACTGGTAGGAGCACGAAGACTAATATATCATTAAGCTCCTATCGTGACGTCGTACCTATATGCACTGAACTACAATAAAAAATGCGGCCTCCGATTTGCTTAACGTATTAATTCACAAGTCCGGACGCTGAAGAAAGATGAGCGCCTGGTAGAACTTTAAAACTCCCTCGAAGCCATTAAGTAGGACATTGTTGGTCTTTCTGAAGTAAAAGCAATGGTTAGGTGCTATAAAATAAGAACGGTGTTTTATCACTGACCACGAGCGGATGGTATGGATTTTTGTGGCGAAGAGGTGGAGAAATAAATAACGTCGAGTTTATTGACTGTTCTAAGAAAATCGCGGTTCTTAAATTCCAGGTAACGGAAAAACACGGTTATCTTGGTCCAAACGTGTGCACCGAAATCGACACACACTGATGATGACCTCGGAAACTTCTATCTTAGTAATGCAAAAGCCTTATGTATGAAAAATTGGATAATGAAGAAATCGTTGCGTGGGGCCGTATGGGTTTGGAACCTAAAACACGTGGTAGATACTTTGACTTTGCATCCATTCCTTCCTTCGCATGGACTTTTTCTTTTAAGCCCATTATTTCTCATGCCGAATGTGAACATTACCCGATTCTGGCATACAAACAAAATTTCATGCGTATGACGTCATAATAAATCCAATATAAAGCGGACAATTTTCAGGCTAGTTTTCTTTACCTAATTTCGATGGTAATTTTTATTGTTTAATGATTCGAGTATAGTATCGTGAAATATTAAATAAGTAATATTTCTATATATTAGAGTATTTAAATAATAAAAATCGCCGCTAAAATGAGGTTGAGAAAAGTTGCCTGAAAATTGTTAGATCTCATCATTGACTTACAAATAAATGGACGACGGGTCTAATACAAAAACCACGAAAAAAATGTCCCAAGTCAACCTATTCGAAATTTAAATTGTAATGTCATCGCAGTATCGCGCTGTCAGTAGAACAAATGAAGACTAAAGCGGAGTGTCGCGCTCTGTATACGATTTTAGCGCCTTACAAGTGCGGACACTTTTTAGCGCGGACCCGACGTCCATATAATTGTAAGTCAATGGATCTCATTCATTTTTTTAAGAGAGATACATACTTACTGTAGGATTTCAAAGTTCGCTCAGTCCGTCCGAAAACAAACTGCTACTATATAAATAATACACAAACAACAAACATTGCAAACATTATTTATATTTGAAAAATACTTTAAAGTTACAATGAACTTGGTAGTTATATCATAGTTTATAATACAAATGCATGCTTGGTGTTTAGTAGTTGATTAGATCATGGAGTGCCTGATAACAACGCCATTTATCTGGCAAATAGAATGGCTCAAACACATGCGGAAAAGGTGCGTCCCAGCCAGTGACTCTTGCTATTGGAGCTTCAAGGTGAAGGAAACATTCCTCCTGAAAAACAAATACGTTTAATGTAATAAAGTCTGACAAGTAAAATTTCAGATTGTTAAGTTGCAGACTTGTGTCTTTTTTCGAACTGATTCTGACATTCAGAGAGAAATGTCAAATACATACATTAGAAATCTATTCGGTAGTTTTCGTTGCAGGATCCTCGACAAGCTCCCACATCTTTCTACGTTACTTTTGATTATAGTGACCCTCCCTACCTACCCTTAGTGCATACGAGAAGGGCACTATGACCTGTGCGCGCACTGGAACCTTACAAGTTCAGGTTCTGACCCCAGATCCGTCAGTGTACAGGGTTGTCACAGACCTCTGTCACGTGACTTCATCCGATTGTTCGAGAGGAGAGTGCCTCGGGTGAGCCGCCCCAGGTGCACATACAGTACCCTACCTATTTTCCAGATAGGAACCGGAGCTGTAGGCACGCTCACTTCCCGTTGCGCATTGCACAACTAGCGGTTGCCACCGCTTAGCCGTCGACTCTAGGTCCACTACCACATATCCTCATTGGTGGCGGAGTTGTAAAGCATACTCACTTTCCGACGCCCAATAACGACGTCTCTCCAGTTCCCAATAACCTGAGCGGCTAGAGGGACCCGAGGATATCTAGCTTATCCTCTACTAGCTCTCTGGGCTAGTGCCGGAGGTGCCAAGTGGCAGTGTCCTGTAACAATGTCCGGACATAGCCGCCGACTCAAAGGGCAACTCACGACGAACGTGTTCGTCCCTGCAGCTAACCACAAACCCCGGCGAGTCCATACCCAGGTCCGGGTCCGCCAGAAACGCCCGTGAAGACGTATCACTGGCGGAGGGCTTGGCCCGAACGCCCTCCGTACCCTGGCCTTGCCGACGAGTCCGTAGTCTCTCCGGAAAACCCTATCTCTCGGGTCGGTAGATAGGGACACAGAAGCCTCGACAGTGGAAATGGGGCACATCCAGAATGAAATGAAGGGATTAACTCTCTTCTTTCGTTAACTGCACGTTGCGGTGAAGAAAAGGAGACGCTTTAACTTAGTAGTGAGACTGGGTAATAAGAACAATATTTTTTCCATAGGAACATTTTATAATTCGTACACGAATCGAAATAATGTCCTAACTCAAAAATTATGGAATTGAGAAAACATTACTTGAAAATTAAAAAAAAATCTTATTGCAAATAACGGAATTATTTTTGTTTATACAAACTAATTCGTTATCCACTTACAAACAAGCACATAAATTTATTGGTTCCATTCAATATTTTTTTGTCTATCAAATCGTGTTTTCTCAAACCTGTCATTGCCACTTTTGAGTTACGACAGTATTTGGTTTATTTCATGCACGAATTATCAAAAATAGATGTGCAATAGAACATAAATAGTTACTGACTCAGTTAGCATTGAAGTGGTAACTATGTTCAATGGATTAAAGCCCAATTGCTTGGATCCATTGAATATCAAATAATATTCGAATATCAAATTAACAAAATACTATTGGTGGTGTGACACAGCTGTTGTCCACTCTCCTTTGGTACTAAGCTTTGGTGATGAGCTTTGAACATTGCCACCGTAAATAATAAAAGTTCTCAATGTCAATTCCGAGGTCAGGAATGCTGGTTTCTTTACAAATTGCTACAACATTCCAGATAACTATAAAGAAATACAATATAATATATAATAAAGTTTCGTGGCCAGAACAAGTTCCAGATGCATGGAAAAATCACTTTGTGTTTCGCACGTGAAACCACATACTGTCGTAACTCAAAATTATGGAATTGAGAAAAGACAATTTAAAAATTAAAAAAATATACTGAATGAATGAATAATATGATTAATTTTATTTATACATAGGTTATCCTTAACTATCCATTTATAAAATAGAATACATATATTGGTTTCATTCTGTTCAATTTTGAGTTACGACAGTATTTGGTTTCGCGTGCGATTTATTGTTTTTGTACTAGTATATAACCAACGTAAAATGAAGCAATGAGGTACCTGAATAGTAGCAGCTAATTCTGCGCCAAATCCTGAAGTGAGCGGTGCTTCGTGAGAAACAAGACAGCGCCCAGTTTTCTTTACAGACTGGAAATAAATTAATTAATCAGTCATATGACAATTATAATATAATAGGTATAAAGTTAGTACAGAATAAAAGTAAAATTGTTATAAATACTCTCTTTTATATATAAATGCATTTAAGAATTCGTCATGTCGCGGGGTTTTGAAGAATCAGTTTGTTTTATTTTTTTGTGGTCCAATATAAGATAATACAAACCAGTAGTCCACCAGTAAATCTGATATAAAGTGGCGACCGTAAATTGAAGAATTAAAATTTTAACAGTCTCTTGTGCCTGTGAATGCGTTGGCTTTCAACCCGCATTGCTGCTTTGCTGTTGCAATAATAATAATAATGCTTACACTCAACATAGCCCCGCTCTAGGGAAACCCTGTGTCGCGGGTGCCATGGACACACACATAAACAACCACAAACTACACCTAAACTCACGAGAGAAATAAATGTAGGCCATACAAATATTTTTCTCGGCCCGGGAATCGAACCTGGGACCTCTGCGTGGCAGTCCGGCCACAGTAACCGTTCGGCCACAGAGGCAGTTATCAGTTAATAAGCAGGTCCCGGTACCACCTGTACAATAATACCAGCATCTAGGTAAATATTAGGGGTTAAAGTATGAAATTGCCGTTTTATTGCAATAGGTTCTTTGAATTTTCATAGAATCTTCATGGTTTGAGGTTTTCGAATGAAACTTTTTTCAAATGGTTTTTGTGATTTTTTTTTTTTAAATTTGAAACATTTGAATATCGACTTTCAATTGTTTTTGTTATTCAATTTAGACAAGAAAGATGGATACTGCGAAAATTCGAGTGATTTTTGAATACGAGTTCCGACGCGGAACTAACGCGGCAGAAACAGCCCGCAATATCAATGCTGCGTTTGGAGAGGGGTCTACTAATGAACGCACCGTGCGATTTTGGTTTAAACGCTTTCGTGATGGAAATTTCGACTTACAGAACGAGCCACGAGGAAGACAGTGACACAGGTGAATAACGATGAATTAAGAGAGATAGTGGAAGCCGATCCTAGTCAAACTACCCAGGAATTAGCGGCATGGTTTAACGTTACCTTACCCACAATATTGACTCACTTGCGTCAAATCAATAAAATAAAAAAATACGAAAAATGGGTGCCTCATGATTTGACTGATCTGCAGAAAGAAACGCGTGTTGAAACTTGTGTTGCCTTGTTGAACCGGTACAGAAATGAAGGAATATTGGATCGAATTGTAACATGTGATGAAAAGTGGATTCTTTATGATAACCGGAAAAGAAAAATGCAATGGCTGACCCCAGGTCAAATGCCACAACAGTGTCCTAAAGCAAAACTTACCAATAAAAAGGTAATGGTAACTGTTTGGTGGTCTCAGCATGGTGTTATTCACTATAGTTTTCTCCGATCTGGTCAAGCAATAACGGCAGATGTCTATTGTGCCGAACTCCGAACCATGTTGACAAAACTAGCAGTAAAACAGCCCCGACTCATGAATCGATCTTCACCATTATTGCTCCACGACAACGCGAGACCTCACACAGAACGAGAAACCATTTTGACCCTTCAGGAACTGCAGTTAGAAACCATTCGTCATCCTCCGTATTCACCAGACCTTGCTCCAACGGACTACCATTTTTTTCGTGATTTGGACAATTATCTACGTGACAAGAAGTTTTCTTCCCAGGAGGCAGTACAAAATGCTTTCACACAGTTTGTGCAGTCTAGATCGTCGGAGTTCTATCGCAAAGGCATTAATAACCTTCCCATTAGATGGCAGCAATGTATAGATAATAATGGCAACTATTTTGATTAAATAAATTTGTTAAAAATTTAAAAAATAAACAATTTAGATTTTCAGTACAAATCGGCAATTTCATACTTTAACCCCTATTATTACAATTATTATTATTAAAATTGATCCAATCACCGCATTGACATTGAGTGACTAAAAAAGTGAGGGCAACATTTATAATAAAACGTAATTATTATAAATGTTGCCCTTACTTTTTTTATAATACCAAGTGAAGAGACGAACAAGTAGTGCGCCTGATGGTAAGCGACACGCCTGTACATAACAGTTGCAGTATCGCGCAGTGCTTTAAATCGCAAAGGTCTGGGGGCACTGCCACTGCGCCCGTCACGCTAATACATATAAGTTGAAAAGTCCCTGACCCTTGAAAACCGAAACGCAGTGATGCTCATATTACTTCAACTGCTATTAAAATAGTAGTTTAATCTGTTGACTATTATTTTTCAGTGGATATACAATACACCTTCAATATGCATGCAAGCATGTTTGAACAAGCACAGTGAAACTATACTTATTAGTGGCAACTTTTATACAACCTGTGTTTCAACACAAATTAATCAATTATGAACATCGTCATGAACACCAGGCGCACGATTTCTTCGTCCTGTCACTTTGTATCATAACAAAAATCGTCTATCATTTTGTCTTCAATCAGTGCTATAATACATATTTCACGTGTATAGGTACTAACATTGCAAACAGTTTCCTCGTCCCATGGCAATATGGACATGAGGTCGATGACCTCACACTTTATGCCTAAGTTCGTTTCAGCCATTTGTGCTACTTCCAGCAGCACGTGGATCTGAGTGCCCCATCCAATAAGTGTGGCGGCGTCACCTGAATAAAAAATGAAACGAGTCTATCAACATCATGACTGTATTACGAGCCCTGTTCCCGGGCCGAGGCCGGGCTCGGCCTGCGGCGCGTGGTCAGGTCCAGATTACGGGGTGTGCTTATGCTCTTCGGTGGCACAGCGGTTAGTACTATTGGCTATGAGGAAGTTTCGAAATATCGCGCACGACGTGCGTAATCGGAAAGCAACTCCGATATAGTCGCATTGCACTAGCAGTCGAAAGCGTTTATGCAGTCGCATTAAGTTTATTTAAATTGCACTCACACCGCTAAAATATTTTGCAGATTAAATGTAGCCTATACAAATTTCAGTAAGTCTTAAAAGTTTTAGGTTAATCAAAGAAATACCTTCAATATACTTCTCAAGGTACTTATTGAGTCAACGATTATATTTTTTAAGTTCAGGAACAGATGTATTGGGGTATTCCCAGAAGACATCAATATCAAGATATCTACACCGCTTGGTGACCACAATACAGTATTCCAGGCTGAATGCATGGGTATCAAGTTGGCAGCAGAAGCAATCATAGCGAGAAGAGTAAAGAATTACTCCATTCGAATACTCTCCAGTAGCATGTCAGTACTTCAAGCACTGAACAGCTATGACATAAACTCAGGGCTCATTTACGAATGCCACCAAACACTCATGGAGGTATATAGACTAACAGTGTTAGATGGGCGGGAGTGCATTCAAAAGATTACAGGTTGAAATGTGGGGTGAGACAAGGGGGGGGTTACATCGCCGAAGCTTTTCAACCTGTATATTAATGCATTGATCGTGGAACTCAGCAGCGCCAAAGTGGGTTGCTCTATTGACGGCACTTTCATTAACAATATCAGTTACGCAGATGATATGGTGCTGTTGACTCCTGCGATCAGTGCACTTGGTAAGCTGCTCAGGATATGTGAGACGTATGCGGAAGCCCATGGACTCAGGTATAACACGAAAAAGACCGAGCTCCTAGTTTTTAAGCCGAAGGCAGGTTCTGTTGGAACTGTGCCGCCGGTGTTTCTCTATGGTAGTGAGATAAGTCGCGTCTCTCAATTTAAGTACCTGGGTCACTGGGTAACCGATAACTTGCATGACAGTGCCGACATGGAGAGGGAGAGAAGGGCCCTGTCTGTTAGATGTAATATGCTCGCCCGCAGGTTTGCTCGTTGCACCAAAGATGTAAAGATTTCATTATTTAAAGCATATTGCCAAAACTTTTACACAAGCAGCCTGTGGGTGAAGTATACGCAGAGAACCCTGAATGCTTTAAGGGTGCAATATAACAACGCTTTTAGGATGCTGATGGGGCTGCCGCGACACTGTAGTGCATCCGGCATGTTCACGGAGGCGCACACAGATGGCTTTCATGCCATTATGCGCAAGAAGGCTGCCTCACTTATGATGCGTGTACGCGGCAGCGCTAATAGCATCCTAACCTTTGTTGCCAATAGGATGGACTGCCCCTACCAACTACATTGGGTGCAACTACACGTGCGTAGGGTAGTGGTCTAGACTCACTTCTCACTAAAATTAAGTAATTTTGTATTGTACTAACCATAGCACGTAAGTAAAATTTACTGTATTACTAACATTATTATGGATCATGGTCCGAAATAAATAATTATATTCTATTCTATATATACACAATCACGTAACTCTACAGTGGATTAAAGGACACTGGCTCACGTGGCAATGACGCAGCAGATGAACTAGCTAAAAAAGGGTCGGAGACGGACGCTGTAGGACCAGAACCCATAGTGTCCTTCCCCTACCAATGGTCAAGAACAACTATACACAAAGGAACAAAATCTTTTCATAATAACACATGGACAACCCTTACGGTTTGTAGATAGGCGAGGAAAGCACTCTCGACGCTCAACCCTAGTATTTCTCGAAAATTAATCAAACTTAAAAGGCAGGAGTTTCGCACTCTAACTGCCGCCCTAACGGGTCATGGTCCATACAATAAATACCTTTTTAATTTCGGTATCAAGGACAGCCCTCTATGCAGAGCGTGCATGGAGGGGGAGGAAACGGCCGCGCACATCCTACTACAGTGCTCCGGCGTGGCCGGTATAGGGCAAAGTACCTTGGAGTGCCGCAGTCGCTCCCCGAAATCTTCAGCAAACCGAGGAGGTTGCTGAGATTCCTGGAGGAGCTTGGGTAGCACGAGTAAATAAAATTACCTTGGCATTTTTGACGGTCATTTAAAAATCTTCTTAATTAAATTAATAGTTACGGAATAACTTTTAGTTTTTTTAACGACATGCTTACATTGTTTTATGAGAACTCACCTTCCATCAAAACTTGTGCTTTTCCCAAAGGCAATGTGTAGTCTCCTGTAGGTACATCTTCAGTGGCAGATCTGTACAAGATTTTCGGTTCTAGAAATATGCATGGATCCTTTTCGCGGATGCAGGAGAGAAGCAATCCCTTGGCTGCAATGGGGCCTCGTGGTACCACTATCTGAAATACACATATAAATACTGCTACATGAAGACACGAGTACGCCGTATACTGTGGACCATTCTTCAGGATCATTTTGTAAATACATGCACTGTATCCTTATATACTGGTACCTTACCCTTAAACCAGGAGCATGTGCAAAGAAAGCCTCAGGGCTCTGCGAGTGATATAATCCACCGTGCCCTACTGCTCCACACGGCGCACGTATGGTCAACGCGCCGCAATCGTACTGCCCTCCTGAGCGGTAGCGCGCTTTTGCTGCCTCGTTCACTATCTGAACACATGTTGATTTGTTAACTTTAATCATTTAAATGTTAGTAAATAATAGTAAGAGTTAATAATCAACAGGTTGATGAATAATATGAAATTAAAACGGCATGTACCTTCTGATTCTTTTCTCGAAAATGTTATGATGTAATACTTTTTTATGCGAAAAAAACCATTGTATATGGTACATTCAGCCCACCCTTCTTTAGGTACCGCTTCCACCGCTGGTTGGAGGGCTGCTACTGCCTCTTTTACATTCATATTTAATTTGCGTTAATTTTAAGGAATAAGTAAGAATCATAAGGTGCAAGGATGGTCTGTATGGCGCATGACCCATTAATTCAACATTTACAGTAGGTACTTAGAAATTGGTCAGTTTGTCTGGTGGAGCAGGCATAATCGCAGTGCTTGATCATTTTGCTTCGTGGGCATTGTTCTTTAACTTTTGGTAAGACAAAATACTGCTTTTAAATACTACTCCACAGTAACTGTCCTGTTATTTCTCAATGATATAGTAGCAGAGTGTCCCGATCTACCGAAAAAACAAGCAATCATCATTTCCCAACACTCTGTCGTTTTTTTACTATTGTCGGCAATTCTTCAAAAAGAAAAACCCATTGTGTTGATTGGCGTTTAGTTTAAGGTTCCTAGCAATAAATTCAGCTTTCATCAACATCACTATGTCACAAACAGAATCAGTTCATTGAATTTTGCTAACATATGTTAATTAAAATAGTGAGCAGTCCATCTGGCACAAAGCTTCCTCACTTGTAGGTGCTTATACAAAATTGGACTTGATGTTAATTCCTAATGATGCCCATGACTGTTGCTATGTTTATCGTTTCTCAGCTTCCATCATAAGCCATACTGATCCCTACGTCACCACAGTAGCGGGGCGCCCTTTTGCGAACATCGTCACTAAAATGAGTATGATCTTGTATAAACTCAATAAACTAATTATAAACAGTGGCAATAGGCGCGTCATGTATTGCCACTATATCTATTGACGAAAAACCTTTCCTCACTAAACTGTAGTCTTGCATACTAACTTTAGTCTTCCTTTATGATTTAGGCCGCAACGAAAGCCATTAAAATCAAAGAATGAAAATGTAAATTGTTGTAGACAAGCAAAGAAACCATTATTCAAAATTTGAATATTTATGTCATGTTTCAAAGTTGACCAGTTCTAAGAACTTCAGTTTCAATCGGTTTCAATTATATATTGAATGTACGTGTGTACTTAATAAACATAACTGTAACACCAGAAATAATAAATAACATAAAAGTCAGTAGTGGAAGCTCAGTATTTTAGCTCTGTGTATGTTAGTAAAATTGCTATAATTGAAATAATTGTATTACCTGATCAAAAGCAGGGAAGATATAATCAGCAAACTGTATCTCTGCAATGGCTGTGGCTCCCGCTGTGGCCACTCCAATCCCAAACCCTGCAATGCCTTGCTCACAGAGTGGTGTATTGAACACTCTATCTTTGCCATACTTCTCCTGAAAACCAATAAAATTCTAGATAATTGATATTTCTTATCCCATAAGATTCACAATAGGATATAATCTAAAAAACTGTCACTTTTCTATTCAGAGAGGTGACCTGCGAAAAAACATTGCACATAATACAAAAAGTTTGAAGATAAAGTTTAATAGACAACCATTACACACTGGTGACGCCCAAGATTTAAAAAGAGTTTAAAAAGACTTTGCCTATAAGCACAATTAACTTTCAGTGTTTGAATATGCATTATATGGCAATTATGACTTCTGGCACTAAGCCAACAATATATTGTTAAAAGTAACAAAAGAACTTTTAAAAAATTAAAATATGTTTATTGGTAACCTTAACTATAAACCGCCTAATAACAATAGCCTTTATCTCACCACCTTCCCTCTCCGCATGTGCAAGCAGTTATTGCAGTCAGATGAAAGTGTTTATAGCAAACCTACGCACTTCCTACCAAGCCTATATTTGCTAGAAACTGATTCAAATTTTAAAAAGTTTGTAAATGTGTCTCTGCAATAAAGGCTATATTTTCGTGCTTTACTGGAATTTTGAATCAAATTCATCTTACTTGTAACCCTAGTGAACATCTAAAAACTCCGCCAAAGCCCACATCTTCTCCAAACAGCACAGATGTTGGATCATTCTTTAGTGTGATATCCATGGCATTGTTGATGGCTTGCATCATGTTCATCTTTGTAGTGTCCCCTGATGTCAATAAAATTATATGATATAACCATTTAATTCATAATTTTGCAACACATCCATAAAATAAGTCTGCAGTCCACTAACTGAAATGCGGCTAAGTACAAATGGTCAAATATTTATTGTAAATACAAAAAAACAGAGCACAAAATTCTCTTTTACAAACCGCACCCTTAGTAATATAAGGGCACAATCCAAAAAAAGTAGATTTTTGGGAAATTTGGGAATTGATAGGGACTTAAATAATAAATGGGATCAAACTTAAATAGCTCCATATATCTGTTTTATTTTTTGTACTATATGGGTCTAACTTGAAAGTGTTTTTTTAACTTGCTTGAAACTTATGGAATTTATTTATATTATTATTTTTTTTTATTGCTATTTATAATACATTTATCAAAGAACAAATCTGCCAAATTTCATATTTATAACTTAAATAATAAGCATGTTATTTGAAAAAATAGGTGTAATGTAGGAATCCAGAATTTTAATACGCGATTTCCCAAAAATCTACTTTTTTTGGATTGTGCCCTTATATTACTAAGGGTGCGAAACAGTTAAAATTAGTTGACGTGTTCGACTTATTGGAACCTACCCTAACAGTGCATAGCTGAAATATCATTAAGCAATTTCGATATTCTAAAACTGGGTTATGGTTTTTTATGATATCTCAAATAATTATTTTGACGGCAGAAGTAATATCTGAGTTAGTACTGCACTTGATTAACGTAAAATTGTAAATAGTACTTACGTATTTTATTACATAACATGAATTATTTATGACTCAATTTAATTGAGTGGTATATTCAATCAGATATTATTTTCGGCTATTGATACTATATTATAACAATGATTTACAATCCAGTGTTTCTGATGATTAAAAATTAAATAATGTAAATAGTGGTCGCGATGTTATTAATTATAACTTTAAAGAATATACCTTCCACTGGATTTTCATTGTCAGGAAAGTAAATAAAATGCGAAGATAGTCTTTTCCAGTAATTCACGGAATTCACCAGTTTTGTAAACAATAAACTCCTTCTCTTCAATAAATTCGCCATTATTGTGTGTGAGTTCTTGCCCACCGTGCGCCACCGAAGGTTGAATTGAAAAACACATCTTATCTGCAATTCTAATTAGCTACGCTTTGATTACGATTCACTGATAACAAACATTATTTAATACGATGAAGTGACGTAAATTCAAATTATTGGTTTCTTGGTTGTCAGTAGTTGTTTTTTTTTTAATTTATTAAGGCTTTGGCAAAGCCATTAGCCTAAACATGAAGTTTAATTATGTTTCTGTAAATATGGCCGCCACAAAGTTTTAATCTTCGATTAAGGCACAATAGCACTATCGTATTCTTATACAGGGTGTCCGGTAATTAATGTATCATACTGAAATGGCTTATAGCACAGCTTAAGACTGTTCCAAAAAAAATGCAAACAAAAATCTATCCCATGTAGTACCTAAGGAATGTTTTTTTTTCTTAAAAGTTAATTATTTTTATCTTGTTTTAGGTTTTTGTGCACTATGACTACAAATGAATGAATTTATTTGGTTTTTTGGGTGTCATAATATTCTACGGTAACTGTGTCCTTAGATAAGCAGTAAAAGGTATGACTAAGTAATGTAATTTTTTTTTTTTAAAGTTTAACTTCATTTTTCAGAGAAATAATTTTTTTTACGAAGTTTACGCGCCTTCTGTATAAAAAAAAAGTACGATAACCTGTGTGGCCATGTACTTTAAAATAATGTAGGTTTAATGAGGATTTCAAAATGATATCATTTCTCATTGTATCTAATGTAAATATGAAATTATTGCTATTAATGTGCAAACGGAGTAAATTTTACTAAAAAACTATGTTAGCAAAATTGGAACATTTCTTATCCTGAGTTGTTCTTGACTATTGAGTTTTGATAAAAAATTATATTAGGCATTAATAAAACTTTATTTAAAACTTATTTACAGCAAAATTATGCAAAAATCCAATCAAAGTAATTTTTCAATTGTTGCCTTTAAAGTACCACGTGGGACCGTTATTTGCCACCTGCACGATAGCCACATTCCGCCCGTCTTTTGTTCATATGATAAGAAAGGTCAGAGTTGGACCAGAGGCAAAGAGTGACAATTAACAGCAAATGTAAAAAAAACGAAAAGGATTTAGTGCATCATTCGATTTGTTCGGTTTTGCACGTGTTTTGACTGGATTTTTGCATAATTTTGCTGTAAATAAGTTTTAAATAAAGTTTTATTAATGCCTAATATTTTTTTTTATCAAAACTCAATAGTCAAGAACAACTCAGGATAAGAAATGTTCCAATTTTGCAAACATAGTTTTTTAGTAAAATTTACTCCGTTTGCACATTAATAGCAATAATTCCATATTTACATGAGATACAATGAGAAATGATATCATTTTGAAATCCTCATTAAACCTACATTATTTTAAAGTACTTGGCCACACAGGTTATCATACTTTATTTTTATACAGAAGGCGCGTAAACTTCGTAAAAAATAAATTATTTCTCTGAAAAATGAAGTTAAACTTTTTTTAAAAAAATGTACATTACTTAGTCATACCATTTACTGCTTATCTAAGGACACAGTTACCGTAGAATATTATGACACCAAAAACCCAAATAAATTCATTCATTTGTAGTCATAGTGCACAAAAACCTAAAATAAGATAAAAATAATTAACTTTTAGGAAAAAAAAAAACATTCCTTAGGTACTACATTGGAATGATTTTTGTTTGCATTTTTTTTGGAACAGTCTTAAGCTGTGCTATAAGTCATTTCAGTATGATACTTTCATTACCGGACACCCTGTATAATAAATTAAATAATATATCCCCTTTTTGTGAACTCTCCAAATACGAATACAACTTAAAATTGACCAGATATCTCTTGCCCTTAACTACGATGAGACTGAAAATCTACTAAAAGTCGTCAAATAACCTCACACTTCCACACTCACAAACACGCACGCACACAGACAAGAACTCACACACTCAGGCACACACTCACTCACGCACTCAGGCACACTCACTTACTCACTCGCGCGCTCACGCGCGCACGCATAGTTTACTTATTTTTTATACTTCCTCCTCAGTACTTTGTATTTCGACATTACTACTAACATGACTATCCTAGGGGTTGGGTGCCTGGAGACCCATATTACAAGCTCTGCTTAGTTTGGGCTCCAGTCTCCCACAATACATTACTCTAAGCTTACGTAATAATGTATATTTACTGTAATTGTAACGTTTCTTTGTATTGTGTTGTGGAGATAAATAAAGATATTTTATTATTATTATTTTTATTATTATATTCCACTTTAAACTAATTTCACAAAATAATTGAAAGTCAAAATAAAAACGACACTTCCCTCCAAAAGGTCCGGAGCGGATCCTGTCAGTGGTTTTTTTGGTATTAACGGCTTTGCCTTAACATTTAGCCAATGAAAGGATTGGTAAACATTATGGAAGAGGTACAGAATTTGGATGAAAAAGGATACGGTAGGTTGGGTAGGTGGGTAACTATTATATTCCGCTACCTACATTTCGTCTGTTTAAAGGTAAAACCACGTAAGTGACATTTTCTACAAAAAGTCTTTATATAGCTATGGTAAGAAAATCAATATCTTTGTAGTAGTTTTTTGCCAATGGCATCTTGCTGAATCATGGCTTGCGAGGGATAACCTCTTGAATCAAGCAGTAATGCTTCCCTTTGGAGGTATCTGTCATCCAGCCTCCATTTCATGCCTCAAATAGATATCGCTTCGGTACATTTACTAGGTCATGGCTATAGTTCACGTAAGGGTGGATGTCCCCGTCCCGAACAGCTTCGTTTGCCAGCCTGTCAGCTTTCTCATTGCAAGAGATACCTGCATGGCTCGGGATCCAGGCAAGAGCGACGGCGTAGGCTTTCAGTGTGCCGAAGCATTCACCTGTGTATACCAAGAACTCTGGAACCAATTGAACTTTTTGAATTATTTTGTATTGTGAACGGTAGACTCCCACGCCAACACAACAGTTGTCCGTATGCATTGAGGCGTCCGTCTGTGTAGATGTAGTGCCAATCCGACAATTCATTATTGATTTTGTTATTAAATTCAGCGTTCTGATTGAGGTCATCCTTACTTATTCCCAGACTATATTCTATTCGTGGCTTGATGACGAGGGAGTTGTAATTATATTCATAGAGGGGAAGGCGGTGCGACTTAGCTTCAATGTTCTTCAACTTCTTAAAGCTTTTCACAAGGCAGGGTTCCTCTTTATGTCACCAATAACTGGAAGAGCCTACTTCCCCAGCAAGATGCTGGACTTTATTCAATAGAGGGTGGTGTTTTATTTGTAAACTACGGTAGAAGAACCTATCACTTAGATATTGTCTTGATAAATTAAGGAGTGGATCGCAGCATTCGACTTGTTAGGCATATTATTAGACTGGATTTCATTGTCCCCGTGATTATTCTGAGTGCTTTTGATTGTGTGTTCTTTAGCATTTTCAAGGCTCCTGCATTGCCAGGCTGTAGCAAGAACGTTCCGTAGTCGAGGGCGCTCCTTATTAGGGCGTTATACAAAAATCTCATGGTAAATGGGTGGGCACCCCACCAGACGCCAGAGGCATCATAGGATATTTAGATTGAATTCGCATTTCTCTAAAATGTATTCACTAAAATGTATTCACAATGTGGCACTCTCCGTTTCAATTTTAAAAAGTGTAAATGGACAAGACAACATTAGATGTTTTCTTTTTTCTTATTGGCAACTTTGTTTATCCCAAAGGTTTCCCTTTGGGATAAACAAAGTTCTTGCCAGTATTTCAAATAAATAGTGTTGGGTCATGAGAAATTTATTTTTTCAGAAAAATAAATATTTTTTCGATTATTTCTCTTCGTCTTCTGCTTTTAAATGTTATGGTCCCATCGAAATAATCGATGATTTCGTCAATGACAAGTAAAAATGACTATGTACGGTAGTTTTGTAAAAATAATATAAAAATTATGGCGGACGACCCTTGAGGCTGGTAATATTTGCCATAAAATTTTCCACATTTGACAGTTGACACCTGTCAAAAGTTAAAGATACTGGACGAAAACTTACTGTTGGGTATTTTCCTAAAAATTTGTAGTGATAATTTCTCCGGAAAAATTTCTGAAAAATTAAAATAAATTTAAAAATGGGAAAAATATAATTTCGAAGTCTTATATTATGTTCTACGGTTAGATTATCTTTTGAAGTTTTATTTAGCGTGAATTATAAGATAAACTTGTATAGCTAAAAGCCACTTAAAGAAAAATAATTTCATAACAGTCTCGTCAGTTCAGCTTTTGACGGGTGTCAACGTCAAATGTAGAAAATTATAGGAAAAATATCCGGAAATATTTTTATTTTTCTGAAAAATATGATTTTTTCGAAATAGAAATTTTTCCAGACTCAACCTTACTAAGAGTCGTATTCCAGAACTCTACTCAATGCTCAAGTCAGGATTTAAGCAGACTTGAGTATGATTTCAAGCACTGGAAATACTATGGCAAGGACTTGAGTATGATTTGTGGTGCTTTGAATCATTCTGAAGTCCTGGCTTGAGCATTGAGTAGAGTTCTAGAATACGACCCTAAAACTTATTTAGATTTTTTTTACCTAGATAAGATTTTTTTTCGCTGTGGCCCAATAATTTTAAATCTCATTTTACTCTAACTTGCTTTTACCTAAGCTTTTAGTATATAATTTTATTTTACAATGCTCACTAAATAAAACATCAAAAGACCTATCTAAACGTAAAACATAATAATTATGAGCCTTCGAATTATATATTTTTTCAGAATTTTCCGGAAAACTACCCAATAATACAGTACCCAACAGAGGTAGATGGCATGGGCTATATTCATGGATTATATTCATTGACGAAAATTTGGGAATAACCTGATGGGATATCCGCGACAAAAAGTGACGTGCCGTTGTTGCAGCCATGGCTTTCACATTTATTTTTTATAATAACTAATCAATTGACTGTAGAAACAATAAATATCACGAAATGATTGTTGCTCTTCCGCCAAGTGATTTACGTGACTACATAGTA